CCCTCGTCGTTAGGACTTCTAGTTTGGATTGCATCTCATTCAGTTGATTTTTAATTTCTGCCTGATTGGATCTAAATTCTGCAGTCATGAAGTCTCGTGAGGCCTTAATGCTTTTTTCTAGAGCCACCAGTAGCTGTAGAATAGTGCTTCTGAATTGGCTTTCTGACATTGAAGTGTAATCCAGATTTTGTAACTCTGTGGGAGCGAGGGCTGTTTCTGATTCTTTCTTTTGAGGTGAGGTTTTCCTTCTAGTCATTTTGCTCAGTGCTGAGTGGCCAAAAACAAGTTGTATTGGAACACGGGGGAGTATCACTGGTCCGTCTAGCTGGTCTTCTGGGGGAGGGGCCTGCTGTGCTGATTTTCAGGGGTTAGCACTTGGGGGAGCTGCTCTGCCCCTGCCTGCTGCAGGGCTCAGCGGGGGTTGTTTACCCCGTGGGGCCCCAGGAGGAACAGCAGCAGTTGCTATGGCAGCTCTGGAAGCCTGGATTCAGCCTCTGCAGGAACTACGGGGCTCGGGGCTCTCGGTTCTCCGTCTGCAGGGCCTGGAGGCTCCGGGGCGGGGCCGCTGATCTGCTCAGCTCGGGGCAGGAGCGTCCTCGCTGTCCTGGGCCCTCCCGGCCTCTGCCTGTCCCGGGGGAGGCCGGATCCTGGGCTGGGTCCCGGCGCCCTGTGCTCCGGGGCCTGCGCTGGTGGATTCGCGCTCCCGCCCTGCAGCTCCCTCCCTGGAGCCGCTCCCGAGCCCCTCCGAGCTGCTCCGGTCCCGCCGTGCGCGCTGCAGCCCTTAGGGAGCTCGGAGCACTCCCCTGCGCTCGCAGGTGTCTGTTAGTGTCCCAGGGAGCCCGAGGGCATCCCCGCCCTCCTGGGTCCTGCTCCAACTCCCTGCGAGCCCCTTTCCGCCCGCCCGGGAAGGTTGGTGCAGCTCCTGCTCCTCCGGGACGGGGCTCTCCTGTCCTGGGGACACTCACCCCGGCCTCAGCCCGGCTCCTCGCGGGGCCCCTCCCCCTCGGAGGCCTTTTGTTTCTTTATTTCTTTTTCCCCGTCTTCCTACCTTGATAGAAGCGTGGACTCTTCTCACTGTAGCATTCCAGCTGGTCTCTCTTTACATCTCAGGCCGAATTCGTAGATTTTCAGGATGATTTGAAGGTTATCTAGGTATTTTGGTGGGGACAGGCGATTTGGGGACCCTGCTCTTCCGCCATCTTGCCGAGGCAGCCGAAGGATTACATTTTTAAGTATGACTAGATAACCAAGATTTGCCAGACATTTGATTAAACCTTCCCAATATAAGAGTCAGCCCAAGATAAATAAAGATAAAAACATGATTATCAAAAATAAAGAGGTAATTCAGGGCACAGTTGAGACTTTAGCCTCAAAAAGAGTAGAGAAGATATATTGATATAGCAAAAGAAAATATAACTAAAGTGATCATGGCCTATGCATTGGACAATTTTACTTAGTCACAATAACAAGACCACATTATTGATTTTCAACTTTTAGAGTCAATCTATAGATCAATCACACACACACAAAAAAAAACTCAAATAAGTTACTAAATACAATGCAAATGCTATAAGCTTAACAAAACAAAAACAAAAATGCAGTGAATAGTTTTGTGGTTCCTCAACAAGTTAAATATAGAATTACATATGACCCAGCAATCCTAGGTAAATAGCCAACAGAATTTAAAACAGTTGTTCAAACAAAAGCTTATATACAAATATTCATCGTAGCACAATTCACAATATTCAAGAAGTGCAAACAACCTAAATGTCCATCAGCAAAGTGAATGTAGTATATTCATACAATGGAATATCACTCAGCTAGAAAGATACATGAATTCAGATCTATACTGCAAGATTAATAAAACTTGAAAACATTACACTTAGTGAAAGAAACTAGGCACAAGGGATGCCTGGGTGTCTCAACAGTTGAGTGCCTTCGGTTCAGGGTGTGATCCTAGAGTCCCGGGATGGAGTCCCACAACAAACTCCCTGCATGGAGCCTGCTTCTCCCTCTGCTTGTGTCTCTGCGTCTCTCTCTCTCTCTCTCTCTCTCTATATATATATATATATATATGTGTGTGTGTGTGTGTGTGTGTGTGTGTGTGTCTTGTGAATAAATAAATCTTAAAAAAAATCTTTAAAGAAAAAAAAACTAGCCACAAAAAACTACATGTTGTATGGTTTCATTTCATGAAAGAGCAGAATAAGCAAATCCACAGACACTGAAAGCAGCTCTGAGGTTACCAGGAACTAGGAGGACAGAGGATAAGGAATGACTGGTTAATGGTATATGGTTTTCATTGACATGATGAAAAGATTTAAAGCTAGAGGGGCACTTGGTTGGCTCAGTCAGTTAAGCATCAGACTCTTGGTCATGAAATTGAGCCCCACACTGGGCTCTGAGCTCAGCACTAAGCCTGCTTAAGATTCTTTCTTTCCCTCTCCCTCTGTGTCTCCTCCCCCTGCTCATGCTCTCTCTCTCTCTCTCTGTCTCTCTCTCTCTCAGAAAAAAAGAAAAAGATTTAGAGCTAGAGAAAGGTGATGGTTGCTCAACATTGTGAATGAACCTAATGTCACTGAGTTATGTACTTTGAAATTATTAAAATGGTAAATTGTAAGTTGTGTCTATTTTTTGCCACAAAATATGCAAAATAAAGTACAAGCAAAAGAAGTAGGGAAGTAGAAAAAGTGACAGAAGAAAGTTGAAGGGAAATAAGAGTGCTTCAAAACACCTACTTTATAAAGTAGAGGATCAACAAGATCTGCAAGTTATGAAGACATAAAAGTATTACTATATTACAAAAACAAACGAAAAAAGAAATGACTAAAAATATAATACAAATAACTGGTAATATGCAATATTGAGAGGACTGTGGCAAAGTGGAAGGATGTAATTGAACTAAACCCTAATTTATCACAGCTAAGAAGAGATAATATCCTAAACTGATATTAGAATAGAAATGGAAGTCTGTTATGAGAGGTAAAGAGGTGACTTCCCAAAGAATCAGTTAAAAAACTTAGGAGTGATTGCCGCTGTAATTTAGCACCTAAAGCTATTATTATTGTTAAGATGAGGAACTGGAGGGACCAGATCTACAAGGAAGGAATCCAGTAAGAAAGGGTCAGAAAACCAAGCAGAAATATTTAGGCTTGGAATGAATACTGAGAAGCTACTTTTCTCCAGAATTGACTCTTTTTTTTTTCTTTCAGCACTTGGATATATTTTCTATAAAAACAGAGTCATATTGTATTGGAAGTTTCCAAAGTCTTATGTTGGAGAGGGTGTAGCTATGAGTGGCATACTTCTGAGAGGGCTGTGTAGTGCATTATCAGTCTGCTCCACAATTCATATAGCCTTCTTCCTATCTTGTCCTACCCAAGGTCATGTTCCCCATCCTCCTCAAACATGCCATACAATCTAGACATGGCCACACCTACAATAGAGACCACACCTATACAGACGTGATCTAGCAGAGTAGACAGACCACTGATAGCTTCATTTTACAAAAACACCTGGTAAGAATTGCACAAACACAAGTTCTTGAGATTGGATAATCAGAAAGGCAATTTGAGGGAAAATTATAATACAATAAGACTTTAGGGGCAATCTCCTATAAATTGTCCCCAATATCTATGAACTGAGCTGACAGAAGTATTCCTCCATCATAGCCAATACAGAAACACAACCTTTTGCTCTTTTTCCTTAGACCTACAATGCAATGGTGATTCTTAAAATCTTGCCATTCAATGGAAAAAGAAGGTTGGAATGCAACTCCAAAGTGAAGAATACCCAAGGAAAGAAAACATGTTTCCCTAGAGCCTAGAGTAGAGGCAACGTATATTGCTTCTAGATTCTCCTAAGTCATAGACTCCTAGAATAAAGAGACACCATAGCCAGCTAAATAAATAAATAAGCAGAAAGAATCAGAGAATATCCACAGAAGAAAAAGTTTATCTGCCCTTCTACTGAGACCATCATTCTCAGTATCCTGTTCACTTATGCCCTTGACCCATGACCCAGATCATTTCACATTCTTCTTTAGGAATAACTCTGTGGGCACATGTGTGTATGTCTGTGTGTATGTGTGTAAGATTGAGAGAGAGGTTGGTCAAGCAACGTGAGAAATAGAAACAAAAAGACATATGAGACAGGAAAAGAGAAGGAGAAGGAGGTCTTAGAATCAATCCTCCCAGTGGGCTGACTTGAACTCTTTTACCACCAACATTTGCTCTAATCCTCAAAGCATCTATTTAGGAAAAGTAATCACCTGTCTTAGAAACAAGAAGGCCTACTAGTTTACCAAATACATTTAAACAGAGTTCTTTTTGTTTAAAAAAAAAAAAATGGTAATGGTACTCAAACCTTCACAAAAGCAGAATGTCTCTTCCATCTCTCTTTTCTTCCTGACAACTGGATCAAGATGAAAATCTAAATATCTGAGCAGCCTGTGTGTCAAGGAAATTGTAGGAGGAAATACACAAATGTTGTAATAGTAGCTTTGACATCAGAAGTAAATGCTCTGAGTTTTAAAAAATGAATTTCTCTGGGAAGAATCAGAACAATTCTAGGAGGAAAAGTTAACATTTCTCCAGTGGTTTACAAAGTCATCTGAAGTATATCATATATAAAGAAAAAAGCATGGAAGTTTTTGGATCCATCCCCTGCCCCAATATCCTTGGAATTTGCTACCTGAAAATTACTACTTGATTAATGGAGTAGAAACTAGAATTTCTTGATTTGCTATTATGTCCAAGCTCTTTGCTAAGAACTTTTTTTTGTCATAAATAGTCCCCACAATAACTATTATAAAGTAGCATTTGTTATCCACATTTCATAGATGAGGAAACTGAGGCTCAGTAACAAATTTGAATATAGATTTTGTAAATTCTGAAACTCATCCTCTAATCCTAGCCTGATATATACTAGAGGATCAGATGCAGACATTTAATGTTGACTATGCATAGCAAATGCATTTTTCCCCTTTGTTTTTCCACTAGGCAAGTATTGATGCTCCATGTTTGGGTGTCCTGGCAGCAGAATTGTCTCTTCTGTGTTTCCATAATGATCCCTTAATCACACATCAAGCATCCTTGGGAATGTGTTACCTACTCTGGATTGCAAAGTGTCAGAATGGTAAGAATGATTTACCATCTCCTCTAATGGATACTAAGAATCTGTCCCTAATTATTCTATTTGTGGGTCTCAAGAAGGCTCTATGTCTGTAGATTTCTAAATTCTTCCCCATGATCTATAGTTCCACTTTTTAAAATGTATTTTGTAATCTTTTTAGAATTATCAAAATATGCCAGTAGTGGTGGAAGTGGTTCTTAAAGATCTATAAAGCACTTGACTTATATTAGTGTTGGGTGTTAATGGTAGGGACAAGAATGCTGTGGGGACGAAGGGAAGAAAAAAAAGAAGAAAGGCTACTAAGAAGAAAGGACTTTCTAAAAAGAGGCATGTTTTTCCCCTCTAATGGGACATCAAATAGAATACTCAGATTCTTGCTTCCATGGTTGGGAGAAATTAGCCCAACACTAAAATAAACTGCTCTGGCCAGTCTAACAAGGCATAAAAGCAAGTCCTGAAGGTACCAAACTATTTCCAAATAAGTTAAACAGAGAAAATATCTATCCTCTCATAATACCTAACTATTAAATATATAAATATAAATACATATATTTGTTCTCAAGCCATTGAACATCAGATAACAAAGGACAATGATTCCTGAGATATGGGAACAAATGAATAAATGAGATGGGGATTACAATTGCCTGAGCTTACCACCTAAAGTTTTTAGGCTCTTACCTAGTGGTCTCACCAAGTTGAATATACAGAATTAGGAATTCAGAGAGGTCAAGATAGCTAGGGTTTACAGATCTGAATACCAGAGATGAGTGCACAGAGAACTGCAGAGATCTGCAGAGGGTTCCTCTTAACCATTCAGGTGTGAAGTGATCAGAGCATGCTTGTGAGGAAACTATCTGAGGCTGGGGGGGACTGATTAGAGAGAAAAATCCAACAAACTCATAAAGGTTGGGAATAGTACCTATGACTATTAGCCAGAATTTAAAACTTCATAATTGATAAGTAATGAGGTAGAGTACTCAAAGGGTTTTGTTTCATTGGAAGGAAAAAATTATCTCTAGACGAAATTGTTTTAGTACCACTTAATGAAGCTTAAAAACAAGATCTAAAGAGATCAGGTGATCTCCAAATACTTTAAATGCTCATCAGACTAAAGCTCACTACTGACTACTCCCAGGAATACAAAAATTCCTGCACTCAACAAGTTAAAATTCAGTGTCAGACTTCCAGTAAAAATTACTAGGTATGCAAAAGAAGCAGATTACAAGCCATAATGAAGAGAAACATGAATCAAAACTAACACAGAAATAATCCAGATGATAGAATTAGTAGACAGGGATAATAAAACAATTATTGTAATATATTCCAATTATTTAAGGATTCAGAGGAAAAGATGAGCATGTTAAGTTAAAGATATAAAAAATTTTCTATGGGATCCCTGGGTGGCTCAGCGGTTTAGCACCATCTTCGGCCCAGGACTTGATCCTGGAGACCCGGGATCAAGTCTCACGTCAGGCTCCCTGCATGGAGCCTGCTTCTCCCTCTGCCTGTGTCTCTGCCTCTCTCTCTCTCTCTCTCTCTCTCTCTCTCTCTGACTCTCATGAATAAATACATAAAATCTTAAAAAAAAAAAAAAAAGGAAAATTTTCTAAAAGACTTCATTGAACCTCTGGAGATGAAAACTACAATATCTGAAATGAAGAAAACTCCAGCAGACATCAACTGTATAATTTTAAGAGAGCCAGAGGGAAAAAAAAGACACATTTCATCCAGAGAAACAAAGCAAATTTCTCATCAGAAACAATAAAAGCCATAGGCAATGGAGCAGCCTCCCAATGTACTGAAAGAAAAAAAAAATCAGTCTGGAATTCTTTAGCCAGCAAAAATTCTTTTAAAAACAAAAGTGAAATAAAGACATGTTTAGGGATCCCTGGGTGGCGCAGCCGTTTGGTGCCTGCCTTTGGCCCAGGGCGCGATCCTGGAGACCCGGGATCGAATCCCACGTCAGGCTCCCGGTGCATGGAGCCTGCTTCTCCCTCTGCCTGTGTCTCTGCCTCTCTCTCTCTCTCTCTCTCTCTCTCTCTCTGTGACTACCATAAGTAAATAAATAAATAAATAAATAAATAGAACTTTAAAAAACAAAAAAAAATGTAAAAAAAAAAAGACATGTTTAGATATACAAGAGCTGCTAGAATTCATCAGCAGATATGCACTATGAGAAATATTAAAATAAATACTTCAAGAAAAAAATTCCCAGGTGAAAATCTAGATCTACATAAAAGAATGAAGAGTAATGGAGTACAACTAAGTAGGTATACACTATAATTCTTTTATCATTATTTAAACCTTTTAAAATGATAATCACCTGTTTAAGGCAAAAAATAACATAATATAAATGAAAAAGAGGGTCATTTCATAATGATAAAAGGATCAGTTAACTAATAAGACATAACAATTCTAAACACATATGTCCATAAAAACAGAAATGTGTACAAATTAAAAATCAAAATACATTAAAGAGAAATGAAGAAGATCTGGAATTACAGTCAGAGAATTCAGTAACCCTCTCTCAATAATTTATAACACAGAAAATTATTAAAGATATAGACTTGAACCAACTTGATCTAACATTTATAGAATACTCCACTAATAATGGAAAAATGAACATTCTCAAGAGAAAACAAAATTTACCAACATAGAGCATATTTAAGCCATAAATCAAGTCTTAAGAAAACAAATTCCTTCAATCACACAAAATATATTCTCTGCCCAAAATGGAATTAAATTAGAAATAAAACCCAGAAAGATATCTGGAAAATTCAAAATATTTGGAAACTAGGTAATCCACTTCTAAAAAGCCCATGAGTCAAAAAAAAAAAAAAAAGGACATAAAAATGGAAATTGAAAGCATTTTGAGCAAAAATGAAAATATAATACCCATAAAGAAAAACTCCAGACTGAAATGATCTCTCAAACACTTAAAGAAACTATACCAACCCTATACAAATTCTTCCAGAAATTAAAGAATGAGGGAATACTTGCCCATTCAGTGAGGCTAGCAACATTCTGATACCAAAAGCACATAAAGACATTATAAGAAACACAAAAAACAAAAAAACTATAGGCCAATGTTCCTCAAGAACACAGGTACAAAAATTTATAAATAGATCCACCTATTTATGGTCAAATGGTTTTCGATAAAAGTTCAAAGGAAGTTCAGTGAAGAAAGAGTAAATATCAGTAAATGGTCCTGGAAAAACTGGTTATCTATATATGCAGAAGAAAAGAATTTGACCTGTATCTGATACATAATGCAAAAGCTAATTCAAAATGGACCCATAAGACTAAACATAAAATCTAAAACTATGAAACTAGAAGTCCTTGTACCTTGAGTTAGCCAAAGTTTTTTTTTCATTATTTCTTCCTTTCTTCTTTTCTTCCTTTCTTTCTTTTGTTCATCCCCCCCCCCCCGCCCCAGGGGAGAGGGCAGCAAGGGAGAGAGGTAGAAGGAGAGGGAGAGAATCCATGCTGAGTATGGAGCCTATCTCAGGGCTTGAGGTCATGACCTGAGCCCAAATCAAGAGTGAGATGCTTAACTGACTGAGCCACTCAGGTGCCCCAAAGATTTCTTAAACACACCACCAAAAGCCTGACCTATAAATTTTAAAAATGAAAAATTAAGTATTTCTGCTCTTTGAAAGACACTGTTAAGAGAATAGATAAGCCACACACTGGTAGAAGATTTTTGCAAGTTACTTATCTGATAAAAGGCCTGTATCCAGAATTTAAAAGTGAATACTAAGTAAGAAAAAAGACAACAAATTTAAAAAAGTATTAAATTTGAACTATTTGAATCATTTCACCAAAGAAGCACAAATGGCAAGGATGCACACCAAAAGATGTTCAATATTTGGTCATAAAAGGCATTTAACTTAAAAACTGCAATGAGACCCCACTATATACTCATTAAAATGTCTAAAATTGGAACGCCAACCATACCATTTATTATTAAAGATGTGAAGCAACCAGAACTCTCACACATTGCTAAAGGGAATGTGAAATGACACAGCTTTGGAGAATAATTTGGCAGTATCCTAAAAAGATAAGCACACATCTATCAAATGATCCAGTCATTCCATAACTTAGGATTTACCTAAGAGAAATGAAAGCAGATATTCGCACCAAGACTTGTACACACATGTTGACAGCACTTTTATTTGGAAAAGCCGAAAACTGGAAATAACCCAAGTGTCTATCAGTAGGCAGATGGATTAGCAGATGATGGTATATACATGCAATGGAATAGTATTCATCAGTAAAACAGGAATGAACTGTTGATACATACAACTTGGGTGAATCACAAAATAATTCTGCTGAGGGAAAAATGCCAAACAACAGAGGAGTACATGCTATATGAATCCACTTATATAAAATTAGAAAATAGGAAATTAAAAAAAATAAAATAGGAAATACAAACTTGACAAAGCTGATAACAGAAAGCAGATCTGTGGTTGCCTTTGGATCAGGGGTGGGTACAAGGGAGCAGGTGTGAAGAAGGGAATGAATATGATTGGGCTTTCTTATTTTTTATTTATTTATTTTTTTATTGCAGTAATGTTTTCATTGGTATATGCATATATAAAAACTTACCAAATTGTACATTTTAAATAAACTGTCAAATCTCTACAGAGCTGTTAACAAACAAATGAAATTATTGAAATTCACCTTCTCCGGAATTAAAGACATATGCCCCTGAAGTTTTCATTGAGAGCTTCTGGCTTTCCTGATATATAACTTCTTCAACTCTTTGCAAAATACCTCCAAGTCTATTCTTCTACCAATAAACACTCCAATGTAATGACAGCCTTCCTAGTGCACAAAGTGATGCATTTGATGGACTAAATGTACTCAACACATGCTCAACATGTTAAAATTATCTGTCTTTCATTTGTATTCCACAGAGGCCTCATTTAAACACTTTATTCGATGTAATTAAACTATTAACAGAGAGTTAAATGTTCAGAACACTTTAGATCTCCAGAATTGGGTAGGAAGGAGAAATTGGAAATAGCAATGTCATAGAAGGAAATAATGATCAAATAAGAACCTTAAACTCTTTTTCTTAATAAGCAGATATTGAAGAAATTAAATCTACAGTGTGTAATTCTGGAAATCATGGCCTCCTACCTGTTCCCTCTGATACAGAATTCCTACTAATGGACTTGCAACAAGACAAAACTAAAATTACCCAGGTAACTTGCCCCCTACTTTATCCTATGGCTTTTATTTCATGTGTATTATTACTTTTAGTGGCAACTTATTTCATCAGTCTATATTTTTAATAAATTTTTTCCATGTTTGTAAAGTTCAGTGAAGCACAGAGTAAGTAATATGTAGAGTATTTGGCTTCTTGATTTTCATCTCTAGTTTGTTCTTTTTTTTTTAATTTTTACTTATTTATGATAGTCACAGAGAGAGAGAGAGAGAGAGAGAGAGAGGCAGAGACATAGGCAGAGGGAGAAGCAGGCTTCATGCACTGGGAGCCCGACGTGGGATTCGATCCCGGGTCTCCGGGGATCGCGCCCTGGGCCAAAGGCAGGCGCTAAACCGCTGCGCCACCCAGGGATCCCTTGATTTTCATCTCTATGAATAAGAATAATGCCTGTTATTCCTGAATATTGCAATTTATATTATTTTATGGAATCCTTACAGAATGCAAATGATAGAAGTGTTTTCTAGTTTTATACTTCTTTTTGTTTGATTAATAAATATCCACTAAAGAAGGGAAACTTCTGGTTATGTAGCAAACTTAATAAAGTCACCAATTAACAGGCTTTTCAATAGTATTATAATTTACTCAGCAAGCATCAAAATAATCTGCTTTAGATTTTGTTTTTAAAAACCCATTAAATTAAAAAGAATTTAAGATAAAATGATAAATCTCAGTAGCAAGTAAATAGTTTTTACATTGATCCAACCCTGGGGAATACCATGAGGTTCTGTATACTCTCTCACTTTCTTCAAAGTATCCATATGCTTGAAAGATCACCCAGCTCTGCAGCCTAGGTTGGGCTGTCCCAACAAACGGCCTTCTAGCCACACGTATTGAGCCAATAGCTCAGCAGAGCTGCTGGGGAAGCCCTTCAGGCTAGCGTGGGAGAGTCTTATGGTCCCTCCTAAAATTACAAACATAAAGCAGTGTCTTCTCCTCCCATGGCTGAGATAGAATTATGGGAGGCTGAGAAGATGTAGAAGTGATACATCTGACATTATATGGTCAAAAATACTGCAGGTGTCTTAAATACACATCTACATGATAGTGCATTTTTCCAAAATCAAGCATTTTTTCTTACCCATCTCCCCTCAAAAATCACGAGCCTGGTTGACTATGAAATTGTCCATTTACATAGAAAAAAACAAGCATCCATCTAGGTATACTAGAAAATTGTTCTACATCCTTCCATCCTCCACTCCAGTGCCTGGAATTGGAATCCTGAGCACCATGATTGAGCTAGTGAGTGGAGGACTGGATGCCTCCTTAGAGCCCCTTCCAAATGGTTCATGAGGCTAGCTACCACCAATTTCAAGTTGGTGTTCTGCATTTTCTGAGTTTAATGTCCTTTGGATTTGGAAATCCTGGGACTTGAGGAGGGGGCCCTGGGTCCTTGCATTCATGACCTGCTATTTAGTTGCCACTTGTGAGACCAAAGCAGGCCAGTCTTGGCCCTGTTTGCAAGAGCAATAGCTGGAAAACCCTGAAATTGGGATTTTCAGAGGTAAATTGGAACAGGTGAGTTGAGGATACAAGATTGTAGTAAGAATCTTGTAAGAACCAAGAAGACCATAGCCAAAGACAAAGTCCAAAGGATACAAATAGGAGGATAAGCATCATGGTTTTTAGCCAAGAGGGCTAGAAACAAAACACCATGAAATGAAAAGATGGAATTTTTTTTAAAAAAAAAGCAATTTACAGATTAAGAGACTGTTCTTTTATATAGTGACCAGTTATAAGAAAGGACATTGTCTCCTAAAGAAGCCACAGAAGGTCATAAAAGTATCACAGACGGGATGCCTGGGTGGCTCGGTGGTTGAACATCCACCTTTGTCTCAGGTTGTGATCCCCAGATCCTGGGATCCAGTCCCACATCAGACTCCCCGCAGCAAGTCTGCTTCTCCCTCTGCCTATGTCTCTGTTTCTGTGTGTCTCTCATGAATAAATAAACAAAACTGAAAAAAAAAAGTATCACAGACTAAACCAAAAAAAAGTGTTTATACCAAATAAACTACTAATCTCACTCATGGAAATTTATAGAAAGGAAAAAACTCAAAATAATATATATTTTTATGAGAAGAGACTCTTCCCAGATGTATGATTTATTTTTTTAAAAAAACTGTGTGTCAAACACAGAAAAATAGATGATTAATTGTGGAATATCAAGTTAATACTATATCATGCAGCCACTACAATGAGTAGCATCAAGGATATGTAATAATGAAAAAAATAGCAAGAAACAAGGGGAAGTATGGGTGCTTTCTAAAGAAGCTAGCTGGTCCTATGGGATTGGTATATTTCCAAAGAGTTACCCATAGATCACATTTTATAGGCAATCCCTGTCATTTGATGTAGTCTACTGTCATACCTGTACCTTCACATGACAGAAACTTCTAACAGTAGTTCTAATTTTCACTAGAAATTGCTTCTTCTACAACTTTTAAATAGACACTAAAGTAATTTTATTAAGTAAACAAATAGTTAAATAGAACATTCCCCCATTTCAAAGTTTTTTTTTAATTCAACATATCATATAATTAAATCTGTCTTCCTTAAAGAAAGGCAAGCTATTTGTGATACTCAATCCACCTCACCAAGCCCCTAGTGACTTTCCTTTAGCTTTCTTCCATAGCATTCCAAGAATACCACATTTTACCCACCCTGCCCAGTAGGAAGGAGCCTGGTGGCCACCCATTCTCACTCAGACCTGCACTATTGACCAAAAGGAGCTATGCTCTATCCTTTTAATAAAGATGTAGATAAGCTTTCATTGGCAAGATTGAGTACCTTCTATACTTGGGGAAATGACTTATGTGTATGAGTCTGTATGTGTTTATAATATAAATGTAATGTATACATATATATTCATGTATATTAAAGGGAAGAATGTTACTCATTTATCTCTATTAACTGAGAGATCCATAATCATGCAATTTTGTTCATATTTTATGGTCTATGGGTATTCCTCTTTTTTTAATTTTATTCAAACAGCTGAATTGGTGTAAAATCAATATTACAAGGTTCCATTTATTTATTTATTTAATATATTTTTTAACAAGGTTCTTTTAATTGTAATACCATGATTCTCCATTTGTTTCCTAGCCTGGCCCCAAAGCTGACTTATTCAGATAAAAATGTTCTAACTGCCTTAAAAATCAGAAGAAAAAAGTAGATGTAATTCTACTTGGATTATAGCCATCTCAGTAACAATACAGTTGTAAAATACGATATTTAACATTTTTTGAATGGAGGAAGAGGGCCACAACAGCAAATATGCCTAAGGCCCATAAAAATCTTGTGGTCCTACCTGGCCCTGGAGTTTCCTCCAGGATGGTTGAATTTAGTTGTCTTTCTCATGTTGTTGTAGGTAAGGCCTGAAGTCATGTCTCTCCCCTTTTGGTTTCAGTATGTAGGACAAACCCTAATGCCATCCTTGCTGACTGACTTTGTGTGGAGTCTCCTGATGAGACTCTCTTCACCCAATTGTGTAACTGCATTCGAGGCGTCAACCATGCTGAAAATGACTCTGGAATATCATGCCCATAAGGTCACCATGGTAAGATACTTGACAATGAGCAAGGGAACACAGATTTTATTCTCTAAAGTGTTCCTGTTGCCTTTGTTATAGGCCTATTTCTTTTCCTTTTTATTTCTTGCTATTGTTCACTATGTTACTTTAATCAAATGAGGCTTTTTTGTGAAATATTTCAAGCATGCAGAAAAGTTTAGAAAATAATGTCATGAACTACGACCTACCAATCATACCAAATCATAGTACCTTGACACATTTGCAACTGTTTTTTTTTTTAAAGAATACATTAATGACAGTAAACTAGTATAGTTATAATTGAAATCTTTTGTATAATGACTAAGGGAAGTTTTCAAGGACCCTCAGCTTGCTGTAGTGCTGGCTACATAATTTGTGGGGCCAAGTGCAAATGAATACAGGGCTTCCTGTTCAAAACATGGGGAAAAAGTGCCATTAAATATACAAACATATGAAAGATATTTCCTTTTCCTCTACAGTCTCTTTCAATTTGTCACAGCATTTTTATTTTCTATTTAATGTCTTTCTAAGTTATACATATAAATATGAGCATTTAATTCAACAAAATAATGCAATTTATATTTCATAGCTCACACAGGAATATGTTTTTCTTCTTACGAAAAGAACAGAAACACTACACAAAACTAACTCAATTGTTTTTATTTTACTTCTTGTCATTCACACATTCTATTAACACCTTCTATCCTCAGTTTATCGATGAGTCATCATTTTCCACTTAGATGGGTGAGGGTTCAATAAATGCTTATCTTATACTCACTTTGATGTCCCTCTGACTCCTATGCTCATGGGTCCACTGGAATTCTGTGCACTTAATGAGTGCTGCATGTGAATGGGGCTACACACAGGAATTACAGCTGATGCCTGCTCATATACATGCTCCGTTGTCCCATTGGGCTTCACTTACCAAACACAAGCTCAAAGATAAAAATATTAAAAATTTGAAGATGGCGACAGCAAAGCTTTGAACCTTCTGAGTGCAGAACCCTGTGCAAATGTAGAGATCACATGCTCATGAAACCAGCCCTGAGGGGGTTGGGCTGAACTCCCAGATCCCAGTCCTGACACACAGTGTTATGTAATTGAAAATAAAATAAGAGCTCATACTCAAATTCATACAGCAGGAAAGAGGAAGTAAAGCTTTCTATAGACCTCCCAATGAGGCTACAGATGGGAGGATTCCCAAAGGCAAGCACGACCCAGGGAGAAGCTGGAAGGCAACAGTCTATTTCTTGACCAATTCAAGTTCTCTCATCTATTGAGAAAGAGAGGCTGGATGAAGGCTGTAGAGAGGAAGAGAAGCCTGACAGAAAGCTAGATGTGTAAAACTAGCCTCTGCACAGTAAAATTATTGAATACGGAGAAAGCAACTGAATGAAGATGGAAATTCAGCAACTTTTACTCCACCTCAGCTCCCACAAACAACTGAAGTACTGAATACAGTGGATTCTTGTCTTAAACTGGATTGGATTCTAAAATCAGGTATAAAAGGGGGTGCCTGAGTGGCTCAATTGGTTAAGGGTCCACTCTTGGTTTTGGCTCAGGTCTTGATCTGGAATCTGTGAGATCCAGCCACACAGAGCTTCACTCAGTGTGGAGTCTGTTTGAGATTCTTGCCCCTCCTTCCTTCCCCCACTGTTCCTCCTCCTGCTCACATCACTCTCTCTCTCTCTAAAACTAAATAAATAAGATATTTTTTAATAAAATAAAATCAGTTATAATGGAAAATTGTTCATGTTTAAAAGTATCCCTGAAAAAAACCTAAATTGCATATATAGTATATGGGCTTATAATCTCTAAATAAATCTAACACAGCAAGTCTTCTTTTAGGAATTAAAGCAGATCATAATTGCTGTACTTGAGTGTATAGTAACATAGTTGGCTTGTTTTGGGACATGCTGCATGGAAAAGAAAAGAGGATAAGAAGAAAGAGCTCTAAACCCATAGTTAAAAAGTCAGTGGAGAAGAACAATGTTTAATGTCCACAATTTTGTGTTCACCTTGGAGCATATGCAGCACAAGGAATGTCCTGCACTCTTAACACTTCAGTTATTTTATTTTATTTTATTTTTTTGCTTGGAGTTGAGGGTTGGTCTAGATAACTAACTGTATATGAGACAATTGCAATTGAATGTAAATTATATCAACCAACATTTCAGCTTATGATCTCTGAGGAATATTTTCAAAATAGTGAAGTTATCCGGTTAGATGAATTTGATGTTAAATATATAGCCACTAATTTGAGACAAATTTCAGGTCTGGCTAGTAATCTCCTTTTTCAAGAATGAATATAAAGGGGAAAAAATAAAACTGACATAGGGCCTATGAGTAGAATTTGCAAGAGTATGTGACCCAGTGTTTACCATTCTGGATCATTCTTCCAACACATAGTTTAACCATTCCATATGTAGATTCAAGTCTTCTTTAACTTTCAGAAAGGTTTTTTGAAATTCCATTGTTATTCTGCTCCATAATTTTGACTTCCTTCTTAAAGGATTTGAATTATCCATGTTCTCTATACCGAGCTTTTATGTCTTATATAATGAAGTCTACCTTCCCCAAATAATTTTTAAAAAAACTGGGTATTTTCCCAATATCAATAAATGCATAGGCTTACTTCTCATCAAAACAAATATTTTACATTGTGTAGTCATACATATAAATATACTTTCCTCTAGTGCTTATTTGTGTGTTAATTGCTGCCTTGGCCATTCTGAGGAGGGCTAAATTCTTAGATCCAAGAAATCCTTGGTTTAGAGGTGGCCATGGAACAAAAGACTCTGAAATTATTTTTCCAGGTGTCTAAGATTGTGGATGCTATTTATAAGCAATTGTGTGAACACTCTTCTCCTGTCATGAGGCATACTTTGTTGCGGGTCATCACCTTGTTGATACGTACTTCACCGAAGAAGGTTATCTTTCAACTTATGGATTACCCAATCCCAGCAGACAAGTAAGACACCCTTACACCTTCCACAAGGGTCTCCAGAATATGACAGAGCTGGACAGAGTTAAGGTCACTTCTTTTTTTCTGAAAAGGATGTCTATTTTTGTAGAACATAGGATGATCATAAAGTTTAAATAACATCATGCATTTTATTTATATTCTCATACAACACCTACACAGAGTAAACACCACTGACAAATGATCATGGTCACTATTATTTATGTGATACTTTAAATTGTGTTCTACTGCATATTCCATAGGAACAAGCCTCTCCTCAAAGTAATGATGGATTTTTTGCCATAAGTGATAAAATTTATAGTGCTTTTTTCTCATTTATAAAAAACAGATGTAAGGTATTTCTATCCACCAACAAAATAATGAAACATTAGAAGTAGCTGTTCCTTAGCTATTTATCTGAAATTCATGATCCAGGATCACAGAAAATATTAAGGAGAAAAGAATACCAATGTGAGCTTAAGGGACAATATGAGCCTAACTCACATTAGAAGAGGGTAGTAAATGACAGCACTTTATTTCTATCATTTGTACCTTGAGAAGGAAGGCAAGACTTCTCTACTATTAACAGTATAAAAGGCAGGAAATTACATTAAGAAAAAGATTCAGGCTTTGAAAACAAATGGATCTGAATTCTTTCTCAGCCACACAAATTTCTAAACACCTTGGTCCTCAGTTTGTCTGTGAGATGAGAAAAATTCTTTATCTATAAAGCAATTATATAAGTTAACATCTGTAAAGGCATACCGAAACCCATAAAATGTTAAACCAATTATATGACTGACCTTTTTTTCCAACTGAAAGCTTTTATTAATTTGGGAGGCTCACAAATACAAAGCATTTTACTACTCAGAAAATTCCGAAATTAAAAATCTTTATAAGACTCAGTGTTTTCTCATTCAGGAATTAAGCACCCATTGTATGTAAAATATTACCAGCCTTCAAGCATTTTTTTGAGAGATAATGGCCCATGGATTAAAGTTGCCAGTGAATTCAATACAAACAATATGAAATGAGGAGGTATAGACAGCAAGCACAATTACAGTTAGGTGAACTTAATTAAAATAGTCATCAGCAGATCCTCTGCAATAGTAGGTGAGGTTTGAGGTAGAAAAGACTAGGATTTGCAGTTGAGCTAAATCAGAGAAATAGAGAGACTTGTCTGATCAGCTAACAAGTATGATCAAGAGGTAAAGGAATGAGACAGGGTATATGAGACTTGATGTCCATGTGGTTCTAAGCATAGTTCTAAAGTTGAGCCAAAAAGGCAGGAGCAGTGGGGTAATGGGTTCTAAAGACCTGGTATGTCTGTGTCCCAGAGGACCAGGCCTCCCTTAGGAACCGAAATGCAGAGACACTATAAAATAGGGTTCAGAACCCAGCACAGATTAATAAGGTATCGGGAATTTACCCACACAAAGGTGTCTAGCAGTTTTTAAGATAAGCACAAAAAAAAAAAAAAAAAGTCCCAAAGAGTGGCCAGATATATAGAAAGGAGCTAGGGGACTGGAGGTTGAGAAGCCAGGATTCTAGTAACATCAGTGTCACTAATTAAATGTGTGACAGTTCGCAAAAGGGACCACTCATCTGAGTTCAATTTAAATTAATTTTCTAATTTTTAAATTTATATAGTTAATTTTTTGCTTAGTATTTCTACCTATTTGGTTTTTTTAAGTTGATATATGTATTTATATATTAATCTGTATTACTATACCAGTTTTTAAATATTTTATTATTCCTTGGTGAAAAAGGTCATAAGGTGGGAAGATCAGATCTTGGAATGGAGAAAACTTACCCATTCTTGACAGTGACCTGGACAGATATTTAAATGTGCTAAGAAATGAACTTGCAGACTTGCAGACTGTATTTTCTGTAAGATCTCATCTAAATTCTTCCTCTGTTTTCAAGGACAAGAGATTAATGGGATTATTTGGAAATGAGCATATCAGTTTGGTTTAGACTTGTCTGCAATTTCTGTGCTACATAAACATGTAAAATCAAGACTTTTCCCAATTCACAACACAGTATAAGTAGGAAATTAATAACCTGATTCTCACTATGTGGGACGGGGGGGTGCGGGGACTGTGTTTGCAGCACTTTGATACTGATGTGGCAGGCAGCAGGCTCTGAGTCAAGGATGGCCCCTCATGTGCTGAAGACAATCTTGTTGATACTGAAAGGAAAGCCTGGAGAAATGCAGGACAGCCTAATGGAAAGAAGACGTTTCTCCCTAGATACTACTAATATGATGCCTGTAGCGGTAAGTAATACCATGAGTGTTTCTCTGTCCTGGTGTTTTTCTGATCATGAAAACCCCTATCTACCCACAGAATCAGTCATACTTCTTGACACTGTTCTGCTTTCATCCATTCATTCTTATTGCTTTCATTCATTCATACTTATTGAGTGCCTACTATATGCCATACCCTGATCAGAAAGCTTACATTCTGGTAAAAGACACAGTAAACAAACAAAAAAAAATGTGTCATGTGTCAGATGATATAAAGCTGAGAAGTGATGTGGAGAAAAGGAAGTGGCAGGGAGGATTTAGGAAAGTTGGTCAAGGAAGGCCTCTCTGCTGAGGCAACATCCAGTCAGAGAATAAAGGAGTGGTCCTTGCAAATATCTGGGCAAGAGAGTTCCAGACAGAGAGAAGGACAAAAGCTCTGCAATGATGGGAACTTGCCTGCTACATCAGCGACTACAAGGAAACCAAAAGAAGAGAATGGAACAAGGAAGGAAGTTCAGAGATGGTGTCAGAGAGTAGCCACCAGATGGACCTTATAGACTTTTATAGGTATGTGAAGGCCTAATGTCATTTGTGCCCACCATTTCATATTTCCTGAGGACTAAAATCACTGCTTCTGGAAGTAAATTCTAGTCTTACAGAGATATAATAGGAAGAAAATGGGTAGTGTTCCACAAATGTGAGGTGGTCAGATGTGTTTCTCTGATGTGGTGGGTGGGTGTTGAAGTGGTCAGTGGACCAAATGATTGTTAGTGATCTAGCCTGCCTCCTCTTAAATATCTCACTGGCCTGAATTGTTCAAGCATAGGGAGGACCTGGGTTATTGGTAGGACTATTCTTCATGGCCACATATGAAGGGGACATTGGGATGTATACTGTCCTTTAGAACTAGCTCGCTTCCCACTGGTTTGGCAGCCAAGAGTTGTTGATAGTGCTTTGGGAGCTTATTGCCATAGAATACTGGGCACTGTTCCTGGTTCAAAATGGACTTAGTCACAGTTACAGAATGAATGAATGAATACACATTCACAGTAGAGGCTTCCTTCCAGGAGGAATTGCAAAGGGATTGCAATTCCTCCTTCCCCATTTCACTAAGACTGACAGGGTTTAGAGACAGGTGGCTCCTTCATTGACTTCTTTTTCCTTCTCTTATAGGCATCCCAGGCTCTGTGCACATTGCTGCCTATTAGTTCTTACAAGAGAGCAGTGGCCCAATTTTTCCCCCAGCTCTTGATGGCTCTCATGCTTCAACTCTTCTACAGCAGTGACCTGAGACTGATGATTAAGGACAGGCTGTTGTGAGATCATATCAGTTATTTTAATTTCAATAAGAAATAAGCTTCTAGCTGTCAACTATTTCTAGTCCCTTGGCTTCATGTGGAACTCTTTATAATTATATGCAATGCATTCGTTTATTACAGTTTTCTTTCCTCTGCAGGGTGGAAGGCCTTTAGAACCCCTAAGTAGCAATAAGTTAGCTAGGACCTTCCCTGAGTGTGTGCAGAGCGTACAAAGAACCACTCCCACAGAACATGGTTTATTCTTGCCAGAGGGAGGCTACCAAGGGGAGAGAGAGCTGGCCGGAGCATTAGATCCAAAGCCAGACACATGCTAGCTCTGCCACCTACTGTCTGACAGTGATTTCTCTGGGTAATTGTGTGTGAGAGATTAAAATAATGTTTACAAATGTCCTCTGGGAACTTCAAAGTTGTTTTGTGGTTGATGATGTAATCTGTGGGCTTAAGATGGCACACAGTCATTCTGTCCACATAAGGCAAGATTCAGCTCTCTCCTTTCACCCAAAACAGTATAGTTAGCTTTGCTGTCCTCCGGAGAAATCTGGACCCACTGCCTGCTATTTGCCTTCATCAGGGGTGGACTTCTAAGCTGAGCAGAACTCCAAAGCACAATCCATACCATTAAGATATTTAATCCATTCTCTGTCTTTCAAGTAGACACACATCAAATCATCCCACACAGATGAGAATATATCTATTTATTTAAAGCATCCAAAAAAGAAAAGCAGCAGGCACTTTTAGCAAATTATCACATCATTTAACATCTTTTAATAAGCTTTATGCTCATAAACTAATAAGCTGATCAATGATTAATCTTAGGTTTTACACGGTACCATTTCAGTTGAACCCTAAATCCTATGTATTGTTGACCAGGGAAGATGAAGAGCATTGAAAGTTGTTTTCCTTTGAAACATTCCCTTCCCCCAAACCAGCATCCTGCCCAAGATGAAATGAAAAGGCAGGTCTCACGTACTTAGTGACATAAAGGCCACTGTCAAGTGTGACTCTGCTCTTCTTTGGGGCCTTAGCTATGCCCGGGATGCCCTGAGAGTTCTGCTGAATTGTTCTGGACTGCAAAAGGTGGATATGGCTCTAAAGAAAAAGAAGTGCTGGAACCAGTTTTCCCAAGTGCTGTTTCACCATCACGGGGTTTATCTTATTGCCAAGTAAGAAGAGGGGCTCTGCATGGGGTTCACTGTCTGTCTCACCTTCTCCAATTTTCTTGAGCCATGTGTGAACACAGTCAATATCCACTCCAACTTCCCTCTCTCTTCTAATGATCTGAATTGCCATTTGATTTCTAGTTCTTCCCTTATTTTAGGGATTTATTACTACTGGGATAGTTTTCTCTTTCTTTGTCCTCCTACTTGATACAGATGCCCAATTTTCCTCCCTCCAAAGAACAGGTTTCTCTTTCAAATATGGAGAACTAGAGGTAAATCTGCTTTTTCTTTCCTCTGCTGTTAGCTTATTCCTGCTTTGTAGGTATCAGACAGTTATAGATGTGTTCCCGCTTTAAAGAGGTTCAATAAAAATCTGTTTGCAATGAGACAAATAAATTTGAAAAGTATATTGAAAGAGAACTTTTATTTTTCTTGTAGTAGAAAAGATTTGTTTGTTTGTTTTTCTAATTAACTCCTTACCAAATGGCAAGTTTCTGATTATAGGGATTAGATTTTCTGATGAAGAATCGAGATACACAGACTTGACAACATAATAGGCCATTTGAAGTTGTGACCAATGCAGAAAGTACAGTCTATATGGTCTCTGGGCCCCTCATGCATTTCAAGTGGCAACTAACACACACAGATTTCAGGAACATCTTATTTTATAAAAGTATGGTACATCTGCACCCCACAAATGGCCACTAGTTAAGAGTCACAATATCCTTAGTACCTTTGGATCTTCTTACTTAAAATATGGTCCTCAGACCAGCAGTAACAACATCATCTAGAAGTTAAAAATAGAAGGCAAATAGAATCTCATGGCCCACTCCAGTCCCACTGAATCAGAATCTGCACTTTAGCAAGATCCCTGGGTAATTTGTACACACATTAAAATCTGAGAAGAATTGGTTTAAAATACCAACCTAGAGTCTTAAAATGAAATCTGTCACATCAGCTTTTCCAGTCCTGCCACTAGCCATCTGATCCAGGCCAGCGTGTCAGGACAACTGTGAGACTGGCCATTTCCCAGAGTGGCTTAGTGAATCAGAACTCATTAATTCTCCTGAGTAACATAGGATAGTCCCAAACTCTCTTTTCCATTATATCATTCAAAGGAAAGACTTGGTCTAAAACCATGATGGTGATCTATGCAGCCATCTTGGTTTGCCAAGATACTTATTTTGCACTATTTATTTTCTCTCCTTGGTCAGGCAAGAGCTTATGGTATTACAAGGCATTCTGTTGTGGAGCACAGGAAAGGAAAGATAGGAGAGAGGAGTGATATTAAGGAAAGAGATATAATCAGTGATCCAAGTCTATATAATAGAGTCTGGAGTCTGAATAGAATCAGAATGCGGCAACAGTTTACCTTGAGTTAGGGAATATTAGAAAATATCTATTTATCTGGGTGGTACAAAATATGAGGATAATGATTCTCTCTTTACGACCATTAGCAGCTGCTAATGCAGGAAGATCTTTTATCTTCTTTGCTAATTCAGTGCCTTATTCTCCTTTACAGAACTCTCAGTGACTATAACTTCCCACAGTTTCCAGAGACCTTGCATTATCTCTACAAGCTCTCAGTGGAAGGTCCTAGACGGTCAGAAGACAGTGTCATCATAGTAATATTCTTCACTGAAGTGAGTTTTATTGGAAGACTGCAAACAACCAGGTTCTCATTCCTTATCCAAACTTAAGTCCACCCTCCAATCTTTTATCTCCCTCTCTTAATATTAACTCTTATCAAGAGTTGAGAAAGTGAAAAATAACTTTTGTCATGTCCTGGATGTGGATTTGCACGAACACTAATTATTTAATACCAGTTCATGTATATCTACATGCTTGTTAAAATAAATCAAGGAATACTCCAAGTATACCTAAAGTTTACTTAAAGATAATAGGTAACATCTGGGATCTGAATGATATATCAGACTAGGGGAAGAAAAAGGAATGGTCCAAATAATGGAGTAAAATTAAGATATAGAACTACAGCAATGTTTATATGAATATTACACCATATATTAGAATGCTATACTAGAGCCAAGCAAATTGAGGAAGTCCTTTTCCTTACATAAGGAATGTAGAAAGTTTTATAAGTTGAAATTCTCTGAGTCAAATAAGAATCTTTCCATAGAGGTAATATATCATAAAGTATCAATCTAAAGTGCCATGCCAAATATTCTAAAAAATTTGGCATAATTTGAAACATCATAGTCAGTGAAACAACTAATAAACTATAAAAGACTGACCCATTCACTACACTACTTACTTCTAGAGTTTTCAGAAAGATACATGACTTAGTTTAACCAATATCTGCACTAGCAAGTCACTAATGTTTCCAAACCTGCCTAATCCATTTGAATCTCATTATTTTTATTATGTTATGCACTATTTTTTCATTATATTGCCCTTTAACTATATACAAACATTAAACAGGTCTTAATATGACGTGCATAATTGCTCCCATAAAATGATACATTCAAAAGAATTTACAAAGGACATAAGATTTACATAGGCATTATTACTGTGAAAGATGATGTTTTATGAACCCTAATTGCCTCTCTTAACATGAATGTAGTGCTTCCTGCTCTTGAAGAGTGGCATACCTGTCCTTCTAAAAACTGAGCGATGACCACCTTGTTCCACTACTTTCTCTAAGTGGAGCATCTGGGCAATCCTCAATGGCTCAGTTCTCCATAAGGTCACTTGGCCTTTATTTTTTTAATATATTTTTTAAAGATTTTACTTATTTATTCATGATAGAGAGAGAGAGAGGCAGAGACACAGGCAGAGGGAGAAGTAGGCTCCATGCCTGGAGCCCGACACAGGACTCGATCCTGGGACTCCAGGATCACTCCCTGGTGAAAGGCAGGCACCAAACCGCTGAGCCACCCAGGGATCCCCTCACTTGGCCTTTAGATGTTCTAAGCACACAACCTATGTATTTTACCTCAGTTTAGTCTTGTTAGCCAGCAATAGTCAACATAGTACTATCGATGCTTATGCCATGTATTTAGATGTGTTTTTTCTAGTTTTCTACTGATATAAGTAACAGTAGAGTTTACATCTTTGTGCCTAAATCTTTCTTTTATTATTTTAGATTATTTCCCTCTAATAGGGAAATATCACACTATCCACACTTAGATAATACAGTCTAATGCTCTAATAGATTCCAAGAATCTGAAATAATAACTAAAGAGCATAAATATTCTCAGGGCTAAGGATTTTTATTGCCAGACTGATTTCAGTAAGGTAGAGCCAACCAGCACTCCCTATGCAGTTCACAAGAGCACTCACCCCACTGCACTCTTGCCACTATTGATGAGCTTTCAGTTTGAGAGGTAGATGTGATGTCTTGTGGGTGATTTGATCTGTCCTTAATTTTTTACATTTTCAGGGAGGTTGAACATTTTAAAAATATAATTATTCATAAATTAGATTTCCATAATCTAAGCAATTTGATCTTTTTTTTGCCCATTTGCTTATTATAGTGTTTTTCTCTCTCACACACACATACAGAAATTTGTGAAGGATATTAAGTACATTATACCTTTGTTTATAATGCCTGTTGAGAATCAGTACCCAGTCTTTTGTTTGCCTTTTAATTTTTTTTATGGAATGTGATCTTTTTTCATAAAAATTTAGCATTAAAAAATCAACTATGGCCGAAGAGTTGATAAATATTCATTTATAATGCATTCATATTTATACATTTTTAAATAAATTCTTACATGTAATGTTGTTTCCTATGACATTTGCATGTTATATCATGAGGTACACCGTAGTCTTTCACTGAAACTAAAGTTTTCATTAAATAATTAACTTCCTCTCCCAGCATCATTTAATTAGTAAGCCTTAAATTCACTACCCACTGGTGACACTACCTTTATTATTAGTTTCATATACGAACATGCAAACACACACCCACACTAGGATCTGCCCTTGATTATACCGTTAGGTTCCATTTATTTTTTCATTCCAGTGGAAGTATCACACTTGAATTATTGCAGTTTGCAAAAAATGTTAATACCTTGCAAAGCACCTTTCCCTCAACTCTCTTCAAAATACCTTTAGTCTTTCCTACATGTTTATCCTCCTAGCCGCATTTTAAAATAATTTTGCCAGGTTTAAAAGAAAAAAACCTTTCACTGAAACTATGATTGCAGTTAAAGCTATAAGCTTCTCAGGAATGTCTTGTATTTTTATGTTTTCACTTCTTTTTTAATTTAATATTTTGTCATATTCATATAAATGTTACATATTAATTTGGGGATTATTAATTAGTTTTTATTATTTTAAACTGTTATTGCAAATGTATTCTTTTGGGGGGGTTCTCAAATTTATCTTTATTACGTATCAGTATTGGTATAGGTTTTCATGTTTGTTTTGTTTTGTTGGGATAGCTCCCACACAATATTACAGTAGTAATAGGTATACAGTATAGTGATTCAACAACTCCATACATTATGCTGTGCTCACCACAGTGCAGCTACCATCTGTCACTGCACAACACTATTACAATACCCTTGACTATATTCCCAGTGCTGCACCTTTTATTTCCATGACTTATCCATTCCATAATTGGAAGCTTGTAACTCTCGCTCTCCTTTACCCACTTTGCCCATCCCTTTACCCCTCTTCTTTCTGGCAATCATCGATTTGTTCTCTGCATTTATGAATCTGATTTTGCTTTTTATTTGTTTATTCATTTGTTTCGGTTTTTAGATTTCAGTTATGAGTGAAAATATGATATTTGTCTTTCTCTGTCTGACTTCACTCAGCATTATACCCTCTAGGTTCATTCATGTTGTTGCAAATGACATGATCTTATCTTTTTATGGCTGAATAATATTCCACTGTACATGCATACCACAATTTCTTTACCTTTTCAACTGTAGATGAGTACTTGGGTTGCTTCCTTATCTTGGCAATTATAAATAATGCTGCTATGAACAAGGGTACATGTATTGGTGGGAATGCAAGCTGGTGCTGCCACCTTGGAAAACAGTATGGAGGTTCCTCAAAAAGCTGAAAATAGAACTATCCTTTGATCCAGGAATTGCACTGGTAGGTATTTACCCCAAAGATACAAGTGCAGTGATCTGAAGGGGCACCTGCACCCCAATATTTATAACAGCAATGACCATTATAACCAAACTGTGGGAAGCCCAGATGTCAATTGACAGATGAATGGATAAAGGTGTGATATATGTACACATGGAATATTACTCAGCTATCAAAAAATGAAATCTTGACATTTGCGACTATGTGCAGATGGAACCAGAGTATTATGCAAACAAAATAAGTCAGTCAGAGAAAGACAATTATCATATGATCTCACTCACATGTGGAATTTAAGAAAGAAACCAGAGGATCATAGTGGAAGAGAGAACAAAATAAAACAAGATGAAATCAGAGAAGGAATAAATCCATAAGAAACTAAATTATAGGAAACAAACTGAGGGTCACTGGAGGGGAGGGGGGAGGGGGCAGGACATAAAGGAGGGCACGTGATGTAATGAGCACTGGGTGTTATATAAGACTGATGAATCACTGACCTCTACCTCTGAAACTAGTAATATGTTAATTGAATTTAAGTTTTAAAAATGAATTAGTGTTTTTGTTTCCTTCAGATAAATGCCCAGTAATGGAATTATTGAATCATATGATATTTCTATTTTTAATTTTCTGAGGAATCTCCATACTGTTTCCCCAAATATGGTCTTTTTCATTCCATTTTCAAGCTCATTATTGCTGGATGTTCAGGAAAATTAAACTGTATTATCTTAAATGGGACATTTTGTGCTCTAATAATAATTATAATAATATTTTTGTTAATTCTTGAGTTCTCCAGGTATATGATCCTGATGTATGAAAAACAATAGATAACATATCATTACCTCAGGTCAAATTATTTTCCTGAATTGTATATTTTTGCCACAGCCTTTAAAGTTCCATTTTGTGAATAGTTTGACCTCTCCTTTGTCCATTTATTTATGACCTTAGTGTTTTTTTCAGTGAATTGGATGGTTCCCTATCTATGTCTCTCCCTCAAATATAAACACACACACACACACATTTGTGAAGGATATCAAGTAGCTTATGAACATAGTGCTTTGACTATATATATCCTTAGTGAAAAATAGTCTAAGGATTAAAAAAATCTACAAAAAAATCCCCCCCTTTTACTGAGGAGTTTTATGGATATTGTATATTGATGACATAATTCTAAGACTATAGCATGCTTTATATAACAGAAAGCAGACAAGCAAATATATTAATACTATTGGCACCAAGATTTTCCAAGCAAAAGAAAGATGAGGCAAACATAAAACTGTAAAAAGTTAATATGAACTCTGATATATTAAATTTGAATTGAATATATCAACATTGTCAAAAATAACTCATGACTAAAAAAAAAATAACTCTTAGTTCAAGTAAAGGCCAAGAAGGCACGATATTCCAATAAAAATTAATACATTCTCATACTTATTTCTAAATGGTTGCCAAATATCATTACTTGCTAAAAGGAACCTTGTACCCTTGAAGAAATGGCTCATTTCAAGGGCAAGAAAAATATAAGATAAGCCTAGGCCATCTAGTTTTTCCACAAGCAAAAAGGTGTTCAGAGATAGATGGGTCATGTCAAAAGGACACGAGAACCAAGTTGAAGGGGCTCCTATTGGCCAAATTTTAGTATCAAAAGAAGGGATAACTGCAAATAATTGTAATAGTTTGGAAAAAAAATTTTTAATGCTTGAGTTCTTGCTGAGACTCAAATTTGGAGAGCTAGAAGAGAGAGAGACCAAGAAACAGAAGCCAGCCAGTAAACATAGAGGGAAGGCTAGACATGGAACACTACCATGCAAGTCCCAGTGTGATAACTAAATAAAAAAAATTATCAACAGATTTTAAAACCATTGAGTAAAAGATTGTTGGAAAAGGATATTCACATAGTACTAAATTATCACCCACAGATTAGTAACTAGTTCTAAATGGAAAATATGCCTTTACGTTTTGATGTGTGGTGATCACTCAAAAAAAACTAAGTTTGATAATATTTGGAAATAACATAGCAATGATGATCAGTCTTCCATTGTTCCTAATCGATTTCAATTATCTAATTTTCTTTGCCTCATGATTGGGACAAAGTCCTGGCATGTGTAATATAGAAAAGCAGCCCTAAAAGATCCAAATGACAAGTATCCAACATTCTTGTAAACTTTTTAACCTCTTTCACACCCTTTTACTCACTGCTCATTTTATTTCTACTTTTTTGTATTATGTTGATCAAAATTGGTCTATTTGCATGCTTTTCTTTTTCTAAGCACAGGCATTAGACTTATAAATTCCATGTTTTTTCTGTTTCCCAAGTCCATAACCTCTGTTTCTTTCTTTTTTTTTTTTTATATAACCTCTGTTTCTACTTTTATTATTTTTTATACCAATTTTCTTTAACATGATCTCATTTCTTATGATGTTTTATTTCTTGCAATTTCAGGAAATAAATAATTTATTCATTTTTAACATTTACTTTTAAATAAAGTCAAGTTATGCATTTACTTCTAACCACAGTGTAAACATCTATTTTATTTTTATTGTTCTGCAGTAATTTTTTTTGTATGTTTGATTTCCTCTGTGGTTTATAATTTTGATCTACAAAATAGAGGAGAATTCTCTTAAGTTAGGGCTTATAGACTTTCCTTTTTCCACTTAAATTTTCTTTTTGGTTTCTTCTTTTATTATATACACCATGATTTTTTTTTTTTTTAAGATTTCATTTATTTATTCATGACAGACACACAGAGAGAGAGAGGCAGAGGGAGAAGCAGGCTCGATGCAGGGAGCCCAATGCAGGACTCAATCCCAGAACTCCAGGATCACACCCTGGGCTGAAGGCGGTGCTAAACCGCTGAGCTACTCGGGCTTCCCAACACCATGATATTTTAAAGGTGCTTTTTAAATTATTTGCTTTAGGGAAGTTATTGATTTTTTTATCTTTGATCAAAATCCTTTTTTGATTTCAAAAAAATCTTTTTATGATCTTCTCTAAAGATAACTTTAGGGAACTTATTGATTAATTTTTGTGAAAGTTGTTTGGAATGTTGAAAAGGATATATGATTTGTCCTCCCCTCTCACTTTTGCTTCCTTGCTCTCTATTTTTCTGTGTACTTGTTCTGTCTTCATGATATTTTAAATTATTGAAATCTTTTTTTTTATAAAACTTTCACTTGTGTTTCTAAGACATTTTAAAAATATGTATATTTTGGCTGCTAGTTACTAGATTCATAAAAAGCTCATAGTAACCACATCTTCATTTTGAGTATTAGCTGTGAAAGACTAAAACTCCATAACCTGGCCTCCACATCATGGCCCATCTGCCCTGCCTAGTACCAATCACAATTAGCAACTCTCTTTTCATTAGTATAGTATAGTATAGAATCATTGTATAGTATCAGTCTTTCTTGCTAGTCTATAAACCCCACAAGATTATGGATTGGGACTGTTTTGCTTACTACTATATTCCCATTTACTAGCATAATGCCTGGCCCATAGTAGGCATAGCCTTCTAGTACATAAACATTCACTGCCAAGGAACTCACCCACCCAACTATACTCTGGGAGAAGGAGGTAATTTAAATTGAGTCACTAAGTTTCCAGCAATGGAGAGAAAAAAAACAATTTTTAAGTATATACTTAACTGCTAACAATAGGAGTTGGGGTACTGACTCCCATGCCACCAAAAATCCTCATATAACTTTTAACTCCCCAAAAGCCTAACTACTAACAACATAAACACATATTCTGTATGTTACATGTATTATATATTGTATTCTTACAACAAAGTAAGCTAGAGAAAAGAAAATGTTACTTTAAAAAATCAGAGGAAGAGTAATACATTTACAATATTGTGGTATAAAATATCCTCATATAAGTAGACCCATGCAGTTCAAACCTTGTGTTGTTCAAGGGTCAACTGTAGATATATACAGATATATATGCATGTATTTCCTATTATGACTGCTACTTCTCCTTCCAGAGAATACAGGAAATATGGGTATGATACATATAATTTTTATGACTGAAGTAGAAATTGTGCATCGGCCTTTACTCTGCTTATAAACATATTGACTCTCTTCTTTCAGCTTCTGAATAACTTCTTCAAAGACCCATTCCCAGAAGAATTTTTGGTTCTCTTCAGAAACTGGGTCAATGATCCCAATCCTGCAGTTAGCAAGCTGAGCCTTAAGAAAATTGCCAGTATGGCGCCAGTTATCAATAAGGCACGTGAGTGTGTGATTTGTGAATGCCATCACATCAAAGGCAATCTGAGATTTGATAGTGCTCAAGATCCTTACTGTTAAAACATTGATATTTCTCAGTTTCTCTAAGGCTAAAACAATTACAAATCCTGATGTTTTATCAATAAAAAAACTGGTTGAAGGGCAGCCCAGGTGGCTCAGCGGTTTAGTGCTGCCTTCAGCCCAGGGCGTGATCCTGGAGACTGGGATGGAGTCCCATGTCAGGCCCCCTGCATGGAGCCTGCTTCTTCCTCTGCCTGTGTCTCTGCCTCTCTCTCTCTCTCTCTCCTCTCTGTGTATTCTCATGAATAAATAAATAAAATCTTAAAAAAAAAAAGAAAGAAAACTGGTTGAATGAAAGGTGTGGTAAGTAGATTCAGTAGATTAATCACTGTGTGTTTATATTCTTCCTAGAAAATCATTCATTGCCCCTGGAACGGACCACCATTGCCCTACACAAACTCTGCTTAGAGTCTAAACAACACACATAAGTTAATTTCCCCTCCAACATACACATCTGACACATTAATTCCTATCCCAGAGCACTTGCTCAAGCTTTTTCTTCCACTCAGAGCATGTTCCTCCTCTGCTCAAACATATTCACATTTGTCTCCTTTATCAGCTCAAGTCAAATTCTGCTGAATATTCTGATTTGGCAATCCCATCTTTCTCAGCGCCACACCCACTATGAGCATTTGCTTATACAATACTTTAGATCAATAGTTCTCTGTCTATGATACTTGAACCAGCAGTATTAGCATCTCCCAGAAACTTGCTAGAAATATAAATTGTCAGAACCTACCCCAGGTCTGTGGAATCAGAAATCATGGAGATGGGGCCCACCAACTTGTGTTTTTGAAAGTCCTTCAGGTGATTCTAATATTCAAACTTGAGAACCACTGTCTTACTCTCTTGCCTAGTGAGTGATGTGAATACTTCTTGACTTCCAAGAAGACTGAATCTAAGCATGTTTTATAATTCTCTAATAAATTCTTTTTTTAAAACCTTTGATTTAAAGTCCAATTAATTAGCATACAGTGTAATATTAGTTTCAGGTGAAACTAATTTAGTGATTCAACACTTTCATACATCACACATGCTCATCACTAGTGCCCTCCTTAATCCCCATCACCTATTTCACCTGTCCCAGCATAATTTACATAATGGAGTTATGCTGATTCCAATCATTGTTGAATTAATAAATTTAATAATAAATCCTTGTTTATCTATTAAGCATTGTTTCTGAAAGCTCAAAGCCTATCACTGGGCACCCATTTTGCATTTAGAATGAAATGAGCCATTGTCCGCTTGCTTTAAATAAATCACAGAAGTCAGTGTACATTCTTTTAGTAATAAGAGTTATTTATTGCATTGTCTAGTGTTCTTCCCAATGTCATTAACAACTGAAAGAAGATTCTGTGTCAAGTTTACTTAGGAGAGTAAAAGAGCAACAGTGATCTGGGTTGAGGTCACATACTATCTATTGGTAAAAACAAATTTTCAGCCAGACAGAAGGCCTCTGGCTACTATTTTGGCAAATAGTATTTGTTTATTTCTTTTACTTCTTTTCTTTCCATCCTTTTCTTCTCTTCTTTGGTGTCTCCTTTTCACCTTGCTTTATATTCTGTTGTCTCTGATCTGCAATTGACTGCCATGACCTGGCTCTCAAGTTCACACAAGTCACCAACACCTGGTTTAGAGATTATACTGCTTGTGGTGTGCTGGTGAATGCTTAACACCTAGCTGTCTGGAAATAATACTAATTGCTCTGGTGTATTCTCATCATGGCTGGTTTCAAGCTATCAAAGGGACATCATTAAACATAGAACTGGGGAGAGATTCATGGTAGTGCATTACTATGTACTATTCTTGCGATACAGATATAATACATGTAAATAACCACAAGGGTATATAAGAGTAAAATGGAGCAAAAGAAATAGGAACTGACAAGTTTTGAATATTTATTACTTTGTTTTATTTCTTTCTAGACTTCTAAAACTTATTTTTAATGGTGACTTTTTCATTTTAACTCCAGTGTAGTTAACCTAAAGTGTTATATTAGTTTCAGGCATACCATGTAGTGACTCAACAATTCTATATATTCCTCAAGGCTCCTCAAGATAAGCCAACTCTTAATCCCCTTCACCTGTTTCACCCATCCCCCACCCACCTCCCCTCTGGCAGCCATTGGTTTGTTCTCTATAAGTCAGTCTGTTCTAACAATCAGCTTACAAAATTCTTGACAATTGATTTCTGAGAGAGAAGCCGAGCACAAAACTGCACGCTGCCCAAACTCAGACGTGTGTGTGCCAACTGCTACCTCAAGTTTCCTCATTCCAAAATCCAACTATTTTCCTCTTTTATATATAGGTAGAAAATGTCCGCAGCTTATTAATAGCCATCTTAGATGCCTTCCTTTCAAAAGACAAGACTGTTATAATTTGGGCCTTACTCACCCTTCGAAAACTTTTAGGAAAACTGAACAAGGTTACCTATTCCTCTTTGTCTACTAGAATTGCTTCCAGCTACTATCCTCTGATGGATCATGTGAGTTACTACAATTAGATATGTAAAATTATTAAGTTTTATAGTTAATCTGAAGCCCCAGCTGAAGCAATGATACTACATTTCAGAATAAATCAACAGAGGATAGTTATTTTGTTCAGAGCTACCATTTCTTCTCCAGAGGCAATATTAGTCAAATAAGTACTGTCTATATATTTATACACATATGCACACACACACACACACACATAACTATTCTATGAGAACCTAGAAAAGTTTGTCCATGAGAAAGGAGAATCAAAGAGTAGCCTCTCTCTTTGGGTGAAAGGGGAATTGTAGCTTAGGGGCTAAATTTACCTAACCCTAGATCTGGACTGCCTGGGTTCAAATCCCTATTCTGGCTCCTCTTAGCTGCAAAATCTAAAGCAAGTGATTCAGTTTCTTACTGCTTCAGTCTTCCCACCTATAAAATAGAGTAGCAGTTATATTATATTATGGGCATTAGAGATGACTTGTGTAATGCCCCCAAAGTGTTTGTTATTATCCTATAAAACTCGAATTAAAAGGTCTTTCATCAAAAAGTTGTGGATTTTGAACACATGTTTTATATGGTGAATGTATTCCAGAAATGTTGGCTGATAGTAACATATTTTAATAAGCAAAGACACTTTGGTATGCCATATGGAATATTTATTTATTTTTTTAAAGGATTTTATTCATTTATTCATGAGAGACAGAGAGAGAGAGAGAGAGGCAGAGACACAGGCTGAGGAAGAAGCAGGCTGCATGCAGGGAGCCTGACGAGGGACTTGATGCTGAGACTCCAGGATCACACCCTGGGCTAAAGGTGGCACTAAACTGCTAAGCTACTGGGGCTGCCCAGGAATATTTATTTTTAAAGAATTCTATAGTGAATTGTTTGTGAATCAGAGAATTATTTTATACCAAATTATTTTCCCCAAATTTGTAGGTACTTAATTATTCAGAATTCATTGAAGAGGGGCACAATATTATTAAGCTATAGAAAGAAATAATTTAATGGTAAGAATTATTTTCAAAAGGATGTAATGATAATAGTAATAATAATGGTGGCTGGATTTATTGAGCATTTACTAAGGACTAGTCACTATTCTAAGGAACTTACATGCACTATCTCACATAATTCTCTAAACAAGTCTATTACTATCATCCAGTTTACATACAAAGAAAATGAAGCAAAGAGAAGTGAATATTTGGCCAAGTTCATACAGCTAAGAAGTAGTTAGAATATCCATGTAAAAAATTATTTTCAAAAGGAAATCACTTAGGGGAAAGAAAACATAAACTAAACTCAATAAATAATCAAACCACACCAAATGAAAAGAAACAAAATCAGAGAGAAGAGAAAATTACCAAATATCAATTTACCTTAAGTCATTCCTTGGAGGTAGAGTGTTTGAAAAATATTAGGCTATTAATGAAACTATAATACTGTGTTTTTTTCATATGAAAAGAAAAACAAATGATAGACATGCAGCCTCCAGTCTCTGGCAGCGGCCTCCCTCAGGCGCCACAAAGGACTTTGCCACCCTAGAGCACTAGCACCGCATACACGATGGACTTCAAGCTCTACACTAAAGCTGATGGTGAAACCATTCCAAAAGGCCGCCAGTCCATTTTCCAGGAGTAAGGTATGACGGAGTCAGTATACACCTGGCAAGACCACAGTTATTTAGAGACCTACATAAACAAAAATGGCAGCTTTACTAATTTGAGAATTTACCTACAAGGATTGATACTGTCAGACCTTCAGAGTTATCACCAAGTCTTTTGAAAACACAGAAGAAAGAATGAAAGAATTGAGTCAAGACAGTAGTGGACGGGTGAAGCGGTTCGAGGAGCAGCGATCTAGAGATTCTGGCCCACCACTGATGGTCACCTGGTTGAATAAGACATAGATGAAGTGGTGTATGATGGAGAATCTCCTTATGAAAACATTAGAATCCTACGATTGAAGCAATTTGGAAATCTCCTCATCCTTAGTGGGGATGTTACTCTGGCAGAGAGTGATTTGGGTATACCCAGGCCATCTGGGCAGTGGGAAAAGACTAAAGTGGCAAAGAGGCACTGATTCCCGGGGGGCAGAAATGGGGCATATTAGATGAAATAGTCAAACCAAAACCAAAGATGGTCACTATGGTAGAGATTGCTCAGAAGGATCAATGTAAGAAGTACATGAGTGGGAAAAATTAGAGAGGGAGACAAACCATGGGAGACTCCTAACTGGGAAAGGAACAAAGGGTTGAGGAAGGAGAGGTTGGCAGGGCTTTGGGGTAACTGGGTGATGGGCAATGAGGTGGGCACTTGATGGGATAAGCACTGGGTGTTATACCATATGTTGGGAAATCGAACTTCAATAAAAACAAATGGAAAAAAGAAAACATGTGGTGATGTCTTACACAATCTTAAAGGAGATTGCTCTTAGATTCTAATAGAAAACTGTATTCCAGTATCCAAGAGAAAAACCAAAGAAGGGAGAGACTTTGACTATGTGATTAATGATTTGACAACCGTTCCAATCCCCATATCTTCAGGAGAAGATCCCACAGTTTCTCAGACTGATACTTGACCTCTCAGTGAAAGTACTGAAACAAGATGGGAAATATTTTACAGAGGCTGTCAGTTTGAGGGAAGCCCTGCCACTCTATGAAGAACAGAGCAGGCATCTGTATTGTCCTGTGAAATTCTCTAAGGAGTTCCTATATGTTACTTCAAACTTAGACTTGTGGGTATTTTACACTGTTTGGAAAAAAGCTAAACCTTAAAGACCAGTATTCCTGAATTATGTGTGCTACAAATAGCCTTCCAGACCTTCATATGCTGTACGTGACATCAAAATGAGTCAGGCAATTGATTGTGAATTCCTTCAAATTTTCCTTTTTTTAAAATTATTTATTTGGAGAGAGCTTCCAGGCTGGTGAATAAGCAGGGGTCCTCAAAGAGTGGAGGCTCGGAGCCCCTTCCCACGTACTTTATTTGGCCATCCCTGAGTTACATCCTTTTAGAACAACTGGTGATCCGCCCCACCTTCTCAGCACTCTGCCCTTCTTCAAGTTTGGACTCTCAAGGGGGAGGAAAGGATGCCTGCTGCACGAGGGAAGTCCAAGTCCAAGGTGCCAGTGACATTTGGGGATTTGGCCATCTACTTCTCCCAGGAGGAGTGGGAATGGCTGAGCCCCATTCAGAAGGATCTGTATGAAGATGTCATGTTGGAGAACTACCAGAACCTAGTCTCTCTCGGACTTTCCTTTCGGAGCCCAAATGTGATCACCTTATTGGAGAAAGGGAAAGCACCTTGGGTGGTGGAGCCAGTGAGGAAACGCCGGGGCTTGGACTCAGGGTTTAAATGTGAGACCAAGAAGTTACCTCCAAATCTGGGCATCAAATCTGGGCAAAGTATCTATCAGAAACTTTCATCTATCTATCAGAAACAAGTTTCTGCATCACAAAACATTCCCACAGGAAAGAGAAGCTGCAAGAAAAGTTCAGTCCTGATAAAACCCAAGAAGGTGCATTCAGGGAAGAAATCTTTAAAATGTAGTGACTGTGGGAAAACCTTTGGTCAGAGTTTATCCCTTCAACTTCATCAGAAATCTCATACTGGAAAGAAGCCTTATGAATGCAGCAGTTTTAGAAAAGCTTTCAGGCAGATCTCATCCCTCATTCTTCATCAGAAAATTCACAATGGAAGAAAAAGCTATGAATGTGATAAATGTGGAGAAAGCTTCATTCAAAGAACATCTCTTATTCTACATGGGAAAGTTCATAATGGAAAGGAAACTTTAGACTGTGGGAAGCCTTTGAGTTGGTGCCCACCTCTCACTGTGGGCCAGAAAATTAATTTTGTTGAGAACATCCACCAGTGTGGAAAGTGTGGGAAAGACTTCATTCGGATGTCATCCCTTTTACTACATAAGAAAATTCACAGTGGAAATAAAATACACAAATGCAATAAATGTGGGAGAGGCTTCAATAAGAAATCAGCCCTTGTTATACATAAAAGAATTCATAGTGGAGAGAAAACCCATGAAAGTAAGAAGGCTATAAGTCTGAGTCCACAGCAGAAAATTTATCATTTAGAGAATCCTTATAAATGCAGAGAATGTGGAAAATCCTTTAATAGGATTTCATCCATTATGCTTCATCAGAGATGTCACATGTCAAAGAAACCCTACAAATGTGATAAATGTGAGAAGGTCTTCAGGCGGCTTTCAACTCTAATTCTACATCTAAGAATTCATAATGGAGAGAAACTGTATAGATGCAGTAAATGTGAGAAGGTTTGTAATCGGCATTCATCCCTTATTCTACATCAGAAAGTTCATACAAGGAAAAAGAAATTGTTTGAATGTAAGGAATGTGGGAAGATGTTTTCTGGAACTGCCAACCTTAAAATACATCAGAATATTCATTCTGAAGAGAAACCCTTCAAATGCAATAAATGTAGTAAAGTTTTTGGCCGTCAGTCATTTCTTATTGAACATCAGAGAATTCACACTGGAGAAAAACCCTATCAGTGTGAGGAATGTGGAAAAGCCTTTAGTCATCGAATATCTCTTACTCGACATAAGAGAATTCATACTGAAGACAGACCCTATGAATGTGATCAATGTGGGAAGGCCTTCAGCCAGAGTGCACACCTTGCCCAACATGAAAGAATTCACACTGGAGAAAAACCATATATGTGCAAAACATGTGGGAAGGCCTTTAGTCAACGCACATCCCTTATTCTACATGAAAGAAGTCATACTGGAGAGAAACCATATGAATGTAATGAATGTGGTAAGGCATTTAGCAGTGGCTCGGATCTTATTCGGCATCAGAGAAGTCATTCTTCAGAGAAACCATATGAATGTAGTAAATGTGGGAAGGCATATAGTCGGAGTTCATCCCTGATCCGACATCAGAATACACATTCTGAAGAAAAAGCCTAAGTGTTTTAATATATGAAAGCATAGAGTGAGGCTGTCAAAGTAGCAGAGACCAAGGCATGGAAAATGCATTTGTCTATAAGATAAATTTTGTAAAAATGAGACCACTTGATAATGTGCCTCATTTTGAAAGCCAAAGAGCAAAAGTCATTGGTGACTTTGACCAGATGATTTGTAATCAGTGAAGCAGTGACTTTATCAAAGATCTTAACTTCAAAGTAGTAAGGTCAGACAGTTGGAGCACTCATTTTTAATGAAGACCACTCTTCACTTGATAAGAATTACTGATATTTTATTTCCATTGTAATTTAAAGGTATTTCATTAGTCACATAAAACAAGGTACATCTGCTAAGTCCATATTTGTAGATGGGTCTTTGAGCCTGATTTAAGGTCACATGAAGAAAGAGTTTGAGGTTGTCCCTTAGGCCTGGAACTATCACATATAAGAGATTTCTTGGGCAAACCAGTGTGCTGCTTCCAGCTGACAGAAAATTATGGCTGAGAAAAAAGAGTGAGTCTTGAAGTAAAGGTATCACTCATAAATGTGTGAATCATTACCATATTGTCTCCATATGAAGATATATGATGTTCATTGTGTGTAAAATCTAACAAGCCTGTGGTGGGCTAATGGGAAAAAGGAAACCAGGATATACTGAAGAATGAGAACTTAAAAGCAGGGAAAAATTATTTGTTACTGTTTTGTTTGAAAATAAATGTGTTTATAAATGTGTTTATATTTATATGAATAAACGTTGGTATTTTCATGTAAAAAAATAATAAATAAAATAAAATTATTTATTTGTTTATTTATTTAATTATTTTAATTATTATTTAATTAAATATTTGCACTGAACCCCTAGAATGTGCTTTTCAATACTTTTTTTGTAGGGGGGAGTGTTTTTTGTTTTTGTTTTGGTAGACTTCAAATTTGATTGTTTGGAGGAATTAATATCATTGTTTTGTTCTGGAGGAAAGTTCTTAATATTTACCAAAAAGATGACTTAGATATTAAAATGTGGTGCTTATAAGAAAGAAATGAAAAAACTATGAATATTGCTATCCATATCATTACTTTGATTAAAATTGCAAATGAGGGGATGCCTGGGTGGCTCAGTGGTTGAGCGTCTCCCTTAGACTCAGGTTGTGATCCTGGAGTCCCGGGATGGAATCCCACATCAGGCTCCCTGCATGGAGCCTGCTTCTCTCTCTGCTATGTCTCTGCCTCTGTGTGTGTGTGTCTCTCATGAATAAATAAATAAATAAAATCTTAAATAATAAAATTGCAAATGAGAAAAAATTAAAAAGAAAAGAAAAATAATAACTTGCTCAAGCTTAACTCAATCTTTGAGGGATGAAACTGGGATTTCAGCAGGTGTGGGGCACTTTAAAGCTCTTTCCACTAGTCCAGATAGGCTTTCGATGGTTAGCATATCTTACTGTAGCCCAATGATACAAACAGCTCACAGATGAATGCATCTTGCAGGTGTCATAAGTTTGACTCTCAAATAATATAAGTCCAATATTTTTAAACTGAAAGATTTCTCACAGAAATCTGAATTGTAAATGAAATTCCAGAAGGTTTGAGAATATTGGAGCCCACAAACCTACTTGGCAACAATCTGCAGGAACTGGGTGCCTTCTCTGAGAGAGGTCAGAGCTTTCCTTTGTCTTAGCCTCCCTCATTTCCATGCTTTGTTTAAATGCCAGCTTTGCTCATTTACATCAGCTTTCCAGTGCCTAGGACGTGATTTGATGATGACTGCTTTAGGTTTTCACTTTGATCCACTTTGATATACTTTCTTATGTCCCTTCCCAGGGGACATAAGAAAGTATATTAGCCATTTGTATTTTGTTGGGAATATATCTGATATATTCCTGCGAACAAAAAGGGAAAAAATTTAATGAACCCATGAACATTTCCTAAAAACTAAAGAGTCGTATTATATTTTTAAAAATTAATCTCTAACTTCCAATTTTTCTCTTCTAGCTCTTTATAATCCCATAACTTTCCTATCTAACATAAGCAAGCTCTTAGAAACCTGGTTCTATGCCAGTATATAAAGAGCTCCCATTGGTATTCAATGGCAGTCTGCAAAGACCTCCAGTATTTGAATACACCATATTACCATACTTTAAGTACCTTTATAGAAATTACTTCCAAGATATATGGATTATCCCAGTTTATATTTTTAGAACATTATTAAATACTGCCTTCTTAAATTAAGAAACACTGTTCACGGGGAATTTTTATAACACATTCTGAATTTTGGTAAGCACATCTTTATTTTTTTAATAAAGAGCTGACTGCTTAGACCAAGGTGAATCTTTTATAAAAATAGATGATAATAATAATAATATATATGTATGTACATATATCTACATGGAATATATATATATGTACATGTAAATATATTTAAACATATACACAAAAATGAGATACAGATTTCCCACTGCATAAAGAAAAAAACTCTCATGATATCTTCCAATGAAGCCTTTTTCTGTGTGCATATTCTAGAGTAATGGAGGCATTCGGAGTATGGCCATTTACCACTTTGGTGAATTACTCAAGGATATGAGTCAGTACCCATGGATACTGAATGATATGGTTCCTGGAGGCTTGGTGCCTCTGATCCTGTTTTTGGAGGACACAGAGATAAGAGTAGCTAAAGTGAGTCCTGCAATCTTGTCTTAGTTTTGCAGAAAACTGCAGTGTTTTATGTAACATCAGATGGACAGATCCTCAGTTATCTTTTTCTACTTCACAGGCATGTAAATACACATTGAAAATCTGTGCCTCAGAATTAAATTGGTCAACAGTGTATTTGCTCAAGGACAAACATTGCAATTTTGAGCTGGTGGTGCTCAACATCTGTAACAATCTCGTAAGTAACCCCGCAGTGCTTACTACCATAAGAGTTACAGAAATAGTTCTAAAGGAGATCCCAAGGGATGAAAAGGTTTGGCAGGGACAAGAGTGGATCCCAGAGAAGGACTGTGAAGATAACATGTTAGTAATTACAGTTAGGGCTTAAGACCCGAAAAAAATTGAATTTTCTACTTCCTCTTCTCTGACATTGATCATTTCTAATTTTCTTTCTACAACTCACCTGCTTTGATGTATGGATGCTTATAAAGGTAGGAACAGCATTTCAGATCACCAAAAGCAAAACTGGGATTACTTTGCCCACCATTTCTGAAACTAGTATGAACTGCAGTGATAGACAATTGGGAATGGAGGAATGCTAAATAAAGGTTGGAAAAACAAAGTTGGGCTTGGGAATCATATAATCAACTGAATAACATCAACAAAAAAAAAGTAAAGAAATTTCTATCCCCTAGTTTTAAATTGGTCCTGATTTGGTATAAGCAACCAAGCTCTTTTTTCTGGAAGCTTCTCCAGAGGGAGCAAATGTGCGTTTTCCAATAATTCCCTCATTTTCCCTCATTTTATTTGTATTTTCTCTCATTTTATTCTCAGCTTATTTCTCATGAAAGCTACATTACAAATTTGATATCTGATACCTTGGGATTCCTGAGAAGCTCCCGAATATATCTGAGAAGAGCATCAGTTATTTTAATAGGTAAGGAAAATTCAATTCTCATTGTCTAATTTCCTTAAAAGGTACAGAATGGGGTAGCAGCTGAAAGTCTTTCTTAAAAAATAAAAATTTTCTTTATGATGGACAGCACCTACCAGGATGATATCTATGAATAGAAGTTAATGCATGTGATTAGAACAAAGTTCTATTTTATAATGCAGTGAGTATTGCTGTGTGATAAAATTATTATACAAAGTGTATCCAACAGGATGAATCTCAAATTTTAAGATAGTGGCAAGCTATTACTAACTATCTCCCTTCGGGCTGCGGGGCAGGAGCGCGAATCCAACAGCGCAGTCCCCGGAGCACAGGGCGCCGGGACACAGCCCAGGATCTGGCCTCCCCCGGGACAGGCAGAGGCCGGGAGGGCCCAGGACAGCAAGGACACTCCTGCCCCGAGCTGAGCAGATCTGCGGCCCCGCCCCGGAGCCTCCAGGCCCTGCAGACGGAGAGCCCCGTAGTTCCTGCGGAGGCTGAATCCAGGCTTCCAGAGCTGCCGCAGCCACTGGGGTTGTTCCTCCTGGGGCCTCATGGGGTAAACAACCCCCACTGAGCCCGGCAGCAGGCAGGGGCAGAGCAGCTCCCCCAAGTGCTTACACCTGAAAATCAGCACAGCAGGCCCCTCCCCCAGAAGACCAGCTGGACGGACCAGTGATACTCCCCCGTGTTCCAATACAACTTGTTTTTGGCCACTCTGCACTGAGCAAAATGACTAGAAGGAAAACCTCACTTCAAAAGAAAGAATCAGAAACAGTCCTCTCTCCCACAGAGTTACAAAATCTGGATTACACTTCAATGTCAGTAAGCCAATTCAGAAGCACTATTCTACAGCTACTGGTGGCTCTAGAAAAAAGCATTAAGGACTCACGAGACTTCATGACTGCAGAATTTAGATCCAATCAGGCAGAAATTAAAAATCAATTGAATGAGATGCAATCCAAACTAGAAGTCCTAACGACGAGGGTTAACGAGGTGGAAGAACGAGTGAGTGACATAGAAGACAAGTTAATGGCAAAGAGGGAAACTGAGGAAAAAAGAGACAATCAATTAAGGGACCATGAAGACAGATTAAGGGAAATAAATGACAGTCTGAGGAAGAAAAACCTACGCTTAATTGGGGTTCCCGAGGGCGCCGAAAGGGACAGAGGGCCAGAATATGTATTTGAACAAATCCTAGCTGAAAACTTTCCCAATCTGGAAAGGGAAACAGGCATTCAGATCCAGGAAATAGAGAGATCCCCCCCTAAAATCAATAAAAACCGTTCAACACCTCGACATCTAATAGTGAAGCTTGCAAATTCCAAAGATAAAGAGAAGATCCTTAAAGCAGCAAGAAACAAGAAGTCCCTGACTTTCATGGGGAGGAATATTAGGGTAACAGCAGACCTCTCCACAGAGACGTGGCAGGCCAGAAAGGGCTGGCAGGATATATTCAGGGTCCTAAATGAGAAGAACATGCAACCAAGAATACTTTATCCAGCAAGGCTCTCATTCAAAATGGAAGGAGAGATAAAGAGCTTCCAAGACAGGCAGGAACTGAAAGAATATGTGACCTCCAAACCAGCTCTGCAAGAAATTTTAAGGGGGACTCTTAAAACTCCCCTTTAAGAAGAAGTTCAGTGGAACAATCCACAAAAACAAGGACTAAATAGATATCATGATGACACTAAACTCATATCTGTCAATAGTAACTCTGAACGTGAATGGGCTGAATGACCCCATCAAAAGGCGCAGGGTTTCAGACTGGATAAAAAAGCAGGACCCATCTATTTGCTGTCTACAAGAGACTCATTTTAGACAGAAGGACACCTACAACCTGAAAATAAAAGCTTGGAGAACCATTTACCATTCAAATGGTTCTCAAAATATACCCTAAAAACTATAGAACACTTCTGAAAGAAATTGAGGAAGACACAAAGAGATGGAAAAATATTCCATGCTCATGGATTGGCAGAATTAATATTGTGAAAATGTCAATGTTACCCAGGGCAATTTACACATATAATGCAATCCCTATCAAAATACCATGGACTTTCTTCAGAGACTTAGAACAAATTATTTTAAGATTTGTGTGGAATCAGAAAAGACCCCGAACAGCCAGGGGAATTTTAAAAAAGAAAACCATATCTGGGGGCATAACAATGCCAGATTTCAGGTTGTACTACAAAGCTGTGGTCATCAAGACAGTGTGGTACTGGCACAAAAACAGACACATAGATCAATGGAACAGAATAGAGAACCCAGAAGTGGACCCTGAACTTTATGGTCAACTAATATTCGATAAAGGAGGAAAGACTCTCCATTGGAAGAAAGACAGTCTCTTCAATAAATGGTGCTGGGAAAATTGGACATCCACATGCAGAAGAATGAAACTAGACCACTCTCTTGCACCATACACAAAGATAAACTCAAAATGGATGAAAGATCTAAATGTGAGACAAGATTCCATCAAAATCCTAGAGGAGAACACAGGCAATACCCTTTTTGAACTTGGCCACAGTAACTTCTTGCAAGATACAACCACGAAAGCAAAAGAAACAAAAGCAAAAATGAACTATTGGGACTTCATCAAGATAAGAAGCTTTTACACAGCAAAGGATACAGTCAACAAAACTCAAAGACAACCTACAGAATGGGAGAAGATATTTGCAAATAACATATCAGATAAAGGGCTAGTTTCCAAGATCTATAAAGAACTTATTAAACTCAACACCAAAGAAACAAACAATCCAATCATGAAATGGGCAAAAGACATGAAGAGAAATCTCACAGAGGAAGACATAGACATGGCCAACATGCATATGAGAAAATGCTCTGCATCACTTGCCATCAGGGAAATACAGATCAAAACCACAATGAGATACCACCTCACACCAGTGAGAATGGGGAAAATTAATAAGGCAGGAAACCACAAATGTTGGAGAGGATGCGGAGAAAAGGGAACCCTCTTACACTGTTGGTGGGAATGTGAACTGGTGCAGCCACTCTGGAAAACTGTGTGGAGGTTCCTCAAAGAGTTAAAAATAGACCTGCCCTATGACCCAGCAATTGCACTGTTAGGGATTTACCCCAAAGATTCAGATGCAATGAAACGCCGGGACACCTGCACCCCGATGTTTCTAGCAGCCATGTCCACAATAGCCAAACTGTGGAAGGAGCCTCGGTGCCCATCGAAAGATGAATGGATAAAGAAGATGTGGTTTATGTATACAATGGAATATTACTCAGCCATTAGAAACGACAAATACCCACCATTTGCTTCAACGTGGATGGAACTGGAGGGTATTATGCTGAGTGAAATAAGTCAATTGGAGAAGGACAAACAGTGTATGTTCTCATTCATTTGGGGAATATGAATAATAGTGAAAGGGAATATAAGGGAAGGGAGAAGAAATGTGTGAGAAATATCAGAAAGGGAGACAGAACATAAAGACTTCTAACTCTGGGAAGTGAACTAGGGGTGGTGGAGCGGGAGGAGGGCGGGGGGTGGGGGTGAATGGGTGGCGGGCACTGAGGGGGACACTTGACAGGATGAGCACTGGGTGTTATTCTGTATGTTGGTAAATTGAACACCAATAAAAATTAATTTATAAAAAAAAATTATCTCCCTTCACTGCTTAAAAATCACTATCCCAAAAATAAGAATATGAAAAATACAAATACCATCTTTAATAAAATATGGACGTCTGTAACCACAAACTACAACACTTGAGGAAATGCTAACAAATCCAACAGTTTTTTTAAATGTTGTAGGGAAGGGAAATGCAGGATTATTCCAACAGAAGACAACTAAAGTTTTTGATCTTGAGCAAACCTGACCAGAACGTTTTTTTCCCATTAGATTCTCACCATAAAGATCAAAATTAATAAATCTTTATTTGGAATTACAGGAAGTGATTCCCAATTTGATAGTGACCCTTTCTTTGACCCTATTTGGCATTATGGAGTGGCAGGGCCACCAAGAACTGAGGAAATACAGTCATGTTGTATTATAGAGAGGAGTCTGTAAGTCTAGGTAGAAGACAAACTAAACTATGATCATCACTACAGCTCCTCATCTATGTTGATCTTAGAGAAGTAAGGGAACACAACATACAGAAAACCCTGTGTCATAAGAGCTTTATTTCAAACCAGAAAGAGTTCCTGATCTCCTGGATCCTACCCTGAACTTTCCACAAACACTCCTCTGTCTATAATATTGCAAGACCCAAAAATAAGTAATTTAAAAAAGCATTATCTGGGCAACCCTGGTGGCCGAGTGGTTTGGCACCACCTTCGGCCCGGGGTGTGATCCTGGAGACCTGGGATCAAGTCCCTTGTCAGGCTCCCTGCATGGAGCCTGCTTCTCCCTCTGCTTGTGACTCTGCCTTTCTCTTTCTCTGTTTGACATAAAGAAAAAAAAAAAGCATTTTCTTTCTACAGAGATATTTTCAGGGAGGAAGTGGAGGAAAAAAGAAAAAAGAAAGTTTAGAAAATGTTTCTACAGATCAGATAAAAATCCTAATGTATATTTCCATGAATCCAAAAAAATTTTTTTTCAAAAAATTTTTTATATAAAGATCTAAGATATAGTTACAAACACACACAAATATATGATGGGATAATGGTAGCTCAGGAAAAATAAGTTTTCCAAGTATGAGGGGAAGTATAAAAAAAAATATGTAAGCGTTGTTAAAAAGTACACTATGACCAGCAAAAGAGAAAATATATATTGTTGATAACCTAGTAAAAGACAAGGGGTACAGGGCTGAGAAATGCTAGCAAAGGGAATGAAAACCAGCAAAAACAGTTTGAAAAATTAAGGGACAGTAAAAGATATGTAAGATAAATAAAAGACATGAGTCATCATGAGGGAAATAGAAATAAAAACCATAATGAGATACCACCTCACACCTGTCAGAATGGCTAAAACTAACAACTCAGGAAACAACAGGATGTGGAAAAAAGGGAACTCTTTTGTACTGTTGGTGGGAATGCAAAATGATGCAGCTACTCTGAAAAACAATATGGAGGTTACTCAAAAAGTTAAAAACTTATCTACCCTATGACACAGCAATTGCACTATGAGGTATTTATCCAAAGGATACAAAAATGGTGATTCAAGGGCACATGAATCCCAATGTTTATAGTAGCACTATCAACAATAGTCAAATTACGGAAAGAGCCCAAATGTCCATCAATTGATGAATGGATAAAGATTTTATATATATGTGTGTGTGTATATATATTATATATAATATATAAAATAAAGTATGTATAAAATATAAAAAATAAAGTATATAAATATGTAAAATATATAATAAAATATTTTTATATATGCAATGGAATACTACTTAGTGATCAAAAAGAATGAAATCTTGCTATTTACTACAATGTGGATGGAACTAGAGTGTATTATGCTAAGCAAAGTAAGTCAGATAAAGGCAAATATCATATGATTATGATTTTTGTATTAAAAATGAAATTCCACTCATGGAATTTAAGAAACAAAACAGATGAACATAAGGCAAGGGAAGGAAAAATAAAATAGATAAAAACAGAGAGGAAGACAAATCATAAGAGATTCTTAAATATAGGAAACAAACTGAGGGTTGCTGGAGAGGAGATGGGTGGGAGCAAGGGGTAACTGGGTGATGGGCATTAAAGAGGACACTTGTAATGACCACAGGGTGTTTATATATAAGTGATGAATCATTAAATTCTACTCCTGAAACACTACATTATATGCTAACTTGAATTTAAATTAAAAAGAAATGCATAGGGATGCCTGGGTGGCTCAGCAGCTGAGCATCTGCCTTCAGCCCGGGGCATGATCCTGGAGTCCCTGGATTGAGTCCCACATCGGGCTTCTTGCATGGAGCCTGCTTCTCCCTCTGTCTAGGTCTCTGCCTCTATCTCTCTCTCTGTGTCTCTCATGAATAAATAAATAAAATCTTTAAAACAAAAAGAAATGCAAATACACATAAATGATATCCTGGAAGGAGAAAAATTATTAGAACAGAAAAAGGATTCAAATATAATTTAAGAAATAAAAAAAGACTTGATTAAATACACTGAAGTGGTAAATAATTTTTCAAGAAACATTTTATACAGAATACAACTTTAAGACATTTCCTAATAAAGTTATGGAACTTCACAATAATGAATGAATGAGCATTTTGGGAAGACAAAAAAGTCACCTATAAATCACAAAATAGTAAATCTGTCATTAGTAAATCTTCAGTATTCAACCCTAAAATACAGTAGACTTGTGTCTACAAAATCCTAAGTAGAAAGAAAAGGGGAGAGAGGAAAGAAGAAGAAAGGAAGGGAAGCAGGGTGAAAGGAAAGAAGGCAAGAAAGAAAGAGTCCCAGGGGGAGGTAGGGAGATGAGCAAGGAAGGAAGAAATATGGACGGACTGAAGGAAGGAAGGGAGATTCAGAAAGAAACTAAAATATACACAATATTTCTATGAAATAAAAACTTGCAAATACTACTGAAAGACACGAATAAGATTGAATAAATAGAAAGGTGTAAATATTTTGGGGAAAGAAAGAATCAAAATTTAAAATGTACATGGAATCTATGCACAGAATAAAATGCCAATTAAAACATCAATAGCGGGTGCCTGGGTGGCTCAGTTGGTTAAGCATCTGCCTTCAGCTCAGGTCTTGATCTCAGGGTCCTGGGATTGAGCCCTGCCAGGGGAAATCCCTGCACAGCGAGGAGTCTGCTTCTCCTTCTCCCTCTGTGCTCTCTCTCTCTCTTCCTCCCTCTCTCTCTCTCTCAAATAAATAAAATCATAAATAAATAAATAAATAAATAAATATCAGTAGGGCTTTCTTTTCTCAAAAGTGACATATTGATTCTAAAATTAATGTAGAATTTAACACACAAGAATATCTGGTAAATTCTGACAAAAAGAAGAGACAGAGACAGAGAGGACTAGCTGTATCAGTTATTAATATAGCTACGGTGCTTAAAATCACAGGGAATGAATAGAAAAACAAATAGAACAAAATACCATCCAGAAATAACCATAAAAACATGCAATACTTTAAAATGAATCATTGGCTTCAACGATGAAAATATAGAATATTCCTTATACAGCTTGGGGACACCTGGTGAACCATCTGGAATTTTAAAAATTTATTTTATTCCTAACTTACTTCTTACTTTAAATAAATTTGAGATAGTCAAAGGCTCAAATGTTGAAAATAAAACCATAATAATGACAAGCAAAATTAGAATAGTATGGGAGAATTTGCTTTGTAATCATGCAGTGAGGGGCACCTGGGTGGCCCAGTGATTGAGCATCTGCCTTTGGCTTAGGTCGTGATCTCAGGGTCCTGGGATTGAGTCCCATATCAGGCTACTCACAGAGAGCCTGTTTCTCCCTCTGCCTATGTCTCCGCCTCTCTCTGTGTCCCTCATGAATAAACAAATAAAATCTTTTTTAAAAAATAATGTAGTGGGTAGATCTTTCCAAGGTAAAAGTCAAATCTAGGAACCAGGAGAAAAGATTGACCATCTATGAAAAAAGTAAATATTTCTACAGGGCAAAACCACTATAAACAGAGTGAAAAACCAAACTGAGATGAAATACTTATGACACCACAAATGAAGGGTGGTTCTTCCTGTCCAAAGATTCTATACAATCATAAGAAAAGACAACTCGTTAGAAATATGGACGCTGAACATGATAAAAATTATTTGGCTCAGAAAAGTGAAATTTTCATAACTTATCCAAAAAAGTGATGCACATTGAAATGATGAAATGTTTCCATTCATCAAATTGACAAAGATGATAGAATGAAGCCAGAACACTGACCCCCACACAACTTATAAGTGACTCTGCACAGCAGTAGGGAAAGGATGGATTTTCTTTTAGTGGTACTGGGTTAATTACACAGGTATATAAAAAATATTGACTCCTACTTTATGCAGCATAATTACAAGTCTACAGTCCCAATGAGTGAAAGGTAAAACAATAAAGCTTCTAGAGGAAAATATAGGTAGAACATCAATATAACCTTGAAACAGCAAAGATTTCCTATCCAGACTCCAAAATTCACTAACCCTAAATAAAGAGATGGTGAATGGACTGCATTAAAATTAGAGCTTCTGTTATATATATATATATATAATAATATAATATATATAATATATTAGAAAAAATACAAATGGAAAAGTTTAGCCCCGAAGTAGAAGGAGATATTTATGTCATGTAACATTAAAAAAAGATTAGTATGATTAGTATCCTGAATAAAAATGCCTACATATGTATAAATAAAAGACAACTCAATATAAAAACAGACAAGAGACTAGACTAATTATGATTTGTGCACATTTATTCACATAAATATATCCCAATAAAGAGTTTCATTAAATAATAATTATTTGATAGCACTGAAAGATGTATTAAGGATAATCTAGAGATGCTTTGCTTTGGAGAAAGCTATAAAGGGAGCCAGACAGAGGATGCATTTTCATAATGTATTTTGGGGTAACTTTATTTTTACTTTGTGCACAGGGTACTTGACAAAATTAGGCAGTCATTTACTGCTCAAAGAAGACATTGAAGTCATGCTTGATGGTAAGTGTTGACGTTATGGTGAAATCTGTATATATAAATCTAAGTGAATTCACTATTTGTGATTCAGTTCACATATATGTTCTGTAATGGTATGAGGGATGGGAAGAGGAGAGTAAGGGTGAATCAATGGAAGGACTAGGTTAGAGGGCATCTTTTCTTCTTTTCCCTCCCTGGTTCCTTTCCCTTTCCTTTTCTTCCCTTCCTTTCTGTTTATGTGTGCACTTAAATCTAACTATCCCTCTCATTATTTGAGACCTAACTATGATCCTAGAACCTTTAAAAACTACAGAGTTGAAGATTTATTCACTCATTCACCTATCCAACAAATATTTTTCTGGCATCTACTATGTGACAGCACTATTCCAGCTGTGGAGCATATAGCAGCAAATAAAGCAAAGTCCCTTCCCTCAGAGAATTTTAGAGGACAGCAATGCACACTTGCACCAGAGGGAATGAAAGAAGGAAAATGTTTGCTCTCAAAATGTCTGAATCTTTGGCATCTCTCTCTTAGCCTCTATATCCTCCCCAGGATCAGACAAGTGAGGTAGTAAATGGTAGCAGCCTTCCTTCCTTCATTTTCATGTGTGTGTGTCATAGACTTTATTTTTTGGAGCAGGTTTAGATTTAGAGCAAAACTGAGAGGAAGGTACACAGATTTCCCAGATGCCTTCTGCCCCCACATACACACCTCCCCACCATGGCATGTTTGTTACAACTGATGAACCTACACTGACACATCATTATCCTCTTTCCTTTTCCACTTGCTAACTCACCCATTCACTCGTTTATTTGATACATACTTATTGACTGCCTGCATACGCTAAGCACAGAAATTCTGCCTCCATGTTCCTCAGAATCTTTTTCTTCTTTCTCTCCTCCTTCACTTCCTTCTCCTTTTCCTCTCTCTTTACCACATGTGTCCTGATTTCCTCTCTCTATTTCTTTTTGTTAAGAAGAAAATAACTCCCACAAGCCCCATAACTGCATAGAATGATATTAGCATTTTGGTATATCTATTATCTCAGATATATTTAAAGAATAAAAGCTATTAGATGTTTATTTTTTAACTATCATAAGTGTTGTATAACTCTTTCACTTCTTCATATATGTTCATGCCAAGAGACATGGGTTCATGTTAACATGTGTGCTATTTAATTTTATGATATGCCTAATTTTTACATGGTTCCCTGTTGCTGAACATTGAGACTGATTCCAACTTTTTTTCATTATTATGAGCACTATTGAACCTCTTCATGAGTATATATATATGATATAATATATGTATTATATATATTTACTCAGCACATGATAGGTATTTGTTAAATATTTTGTGAGTATTCCTGTTTTGTTTTGTGTTGTTTTGTTTTTGTTTTTGTTTTTGTTTTTATCAAGGTCTGGTGGGGATAGTGGATAAAACTTCCTGGATGCTTCTAGTCAAAATAATGAAAATTGGGGGGGTCAAGAGAAGAGAAGGAGAGACTCTGAAAGGTTGTAGTACTGTTCAGGATTAGAGCTTCTAGACCAGGAGAGAGATGTCTCGAACTAAAGACCTTTCTGCTCTTACAGCTATTGACCCAGTGCTTCGAGATGAAGACCCTGTGATCAGGGAGTTAGCAGAAATTACCTACAGAGTCTTTAAGGAAATATCCCATAAATTGACCTCCTCAAATTTTAAACAAATCTTCCGAAGAGTATTTAACCTTATATACATAAAAAAAGTGAAGCCTCTTTATAACTATAACTGGCCTGACAACCTGGCAGACAGTCCTCTGAAGATTAAGGAAACCAAGAATGACAAGGAACTCCTTCCAGATGTGAATTATGACTTATTTGGTAAAGAATGAGAAGTTATTCTCTGACTTGAAGCATATTTCAGAAGAGAAATGATTTTCCTTTCCCTCTTGATAACTTGAGTCTATATGCACATGCTTTTCTGAAGGGTGCTAAAAGCCTTTCCTGTCACTGAATTCTCTATTCAAATATAGAAATCCATTGCCTTTCTATATTTGACAGTGATCAGAGGACTTACTTCATCAAACCCACTAATAAAATTGAAAAAAGTATATAAGCAAAGTGTTTGATGAGAAGGGCTTGGATTTAGATCCAATCAGTAAGCATCTATTGAACACTGGTACTATGCTAGGCAGTGGGGACATTTGGATAATATAAACAAGGTTCCTGTTATCAGGCCACAGTCTAGTGACACACAGTGTGGCTATTTCCCTCCTGCTGGGACAAATACTGCCTAGAGTAGTATTCACAAAGGAAGAAATAGAACTTGAATGGAAGGAGGAGGGAAATGTATTCCAGGTGGAGTCACTGAGGCAAGAAAAGTGTTGAGGGGAAACTGGAGACTTTGTCATGGACACAGGTGGGCAAGGCAAAAACAGGGAGTCCTGAGGCCTGAAGGGAAGATGATCCCGTGCTAATCACTTTAAACTTTTTGAAATAAAAATTGGGTAACTTGTCATAGTGGTGACCCATTGCCCTCAGGATCTAGTCTAACACTGTCCTGACCCATCAGAAAGTCCTCAGTGATCTTGCTTGACCTGTGGCTTAGGCTCATCTTTCACTCCTCTCATCATAACCTCCTCTCAGCCTGCTCTCCCTCACTAACATCAACTCCTCCAGTCACAGGAAATTAGTTGTAGTTAGATGAAAGCCCCCAATGATTCAAGTGTTGTGTCTTTTTAATGCGTCAACTTGCATTGCATGTGTGTGTTCACTTCTCTGCGGGCCCACCTCGCTGGTGTAGGGCAGCAACCACTGCATCTGCCCTGGGGTCCTCCTTTAGCTCCTCTGACTTCTGAGCCAGTAGTTTTAGTTCTGTTGACAAAGGATACCAGCTTCTCCTATGAGAAACGCACATCATCAACACCATCAATGGTAAAGGCCATAGGAGATTAACACAGTTCCAAGATTGTGGGCTCTATCCTGTCCTCTCCTATCCCCACTTTGCATTCCCCTTCCTTTACCAACTGCATGCCCTACAGACTTCAAGCTCCAGCACCAATGTGAAGACAACAGCCTTGCAGATACTACTTAGGCTGCAATTGCTTGCAGTCAAATCCCTGATTCTGCCTCTCTAGTTGATCCTTGTCTCATGTATCTGGGATGCATTTTCCAGACCCTTTGATCAAGTAGGTGAGTGTTGCTCCTATTTTTTGCCTTAATGTTCTGTGTAGCTTTCATTGTATTTACCAGCCTATAGTGAAATTACTAATTTTTTCTTTTCCTGCTCCACAAAATTGAAGGTACTTTTTAAAATTTCATTTATTTATTCATGAGAGACAGAGAGAGAGAGAGAAAGAGAGAGAGAGAGAGAGAGGCAGAGGGAGAAGCAGGCTCCATGCAGGGAGCCTGACGTGGGATTCGATCCCAGGTCTCCAGGACCACAACCAGGGCTGAAGGCGGCGCTAAACCACTGAGCCACCCAGGCTGCCCGAAATTGAAGGTTCTTAAAGGCAAATGTTGCTTTTTACACAACATTGGTTATGTACTCTGGAACCTCAGTGCCTGACACCTAATGGATGCTTAATGAATACATGCCAAATGAATGAAATGCTAACAGGACATATCCTTGTGCTTCAATAAAAATGTTCAGATATTAATGAGTGTTATTTAATATTAAAAAATAATGAAAGAATGGATAATTTTAATTTACCCTTTAATCCATATTACCTCAAAGTACTCAGATATTCCAGATCTCAGTTTTCAAAATCAGGGCAAATTTCCTTGCTCATCTTCTGAACTATCAGGATGCCTAAGTGTTATAGGCTTACTAGTAACCTTCCTAAAGTTTCCAATTCCTGATCCCCAGAATCTATGAGTATGTTACCTGACATGGCAAAAGGAACTTTATAAAAACATGATTAATTAAAGGATCCTGAGATGGAGAAATTATACTGGATTACCCAGGAGGCTGAATATATATATATATAAGGACTTTATAAGGGAAGGTAGGAGGTCAGAGAGGAAAGAGATTTTTGGAGATTCAACACGCTTTGAAGATAGAGGTAGGGAACAGGAAACAAAGAATGCAACTCTAGAAGCTGAGAAAGGCAAGGGAAATGGATTTCCTTCTAGAGCCTCCAGAGGGAGCACAATCCAACCAACACCTTGATTTTGGCCCTATGTAACCCATTTTGAACATGTGAGTCCCAAAACTGTAAGATAATAAGTTGATATTGTTTTAAGCCACTAAAGTTTGTGCTAAATCTGACAGAGCAGAAATAGAAAACTAAGATCCCTGGATTTCTACAAACAAAACAAATATAACCCCCCCACTGCAAAAAAACAAACAGATATAGCAATGAGTATAATGAAATTTATACAAAATTTGAGGTTTGAAATTTCTGTAAAAGATATGCTATCCTGTGATATTTATATATTAGACAAATTCTTTAAAGTCTGTCAGGTCACCCCCATCCTCACTCTCAATCTACTGTGCAGCCTCCTGGTTCTCTTTCCACTTTCTCCCTCCCGTCTCTTCTACCCTCTAGAGTCTCCTGATTCCCCAGGAACTATGAACTCTTTTCACTTTGTTTTGTGAGTTGACTCTATAGTTTCCAACTCCACCCTGGATACCCTGATCTTCCATATGTTCTGAAGACATAAAGGAATATCTTAAAAAGATCCTACTTTCTTGAGGACCAGTTGTAGTTATAAATAGCATGTTTCTCGTCGTCATATGTCTATGTTATTCCCACTATCTTTTGGCTTCTCCATGGGAATAGTTAATGTGACCTTTAATGCTATGCAGGATGTAGCTTTGCATCATTGGCCACGTTCCTAAAGCACTCACCCCTCCCTCACTCCCTGCTCTCCATAACCACTGGCCTTCTCAACACTTTATGACCCCTGCATTAGGGCTTTCACTCATGCTCTTCCTATGCCTGAAACACAGTGCATTCTTCATTACCCAGTCAATTCTTTCCCATCTTTCAAGCACCAGCTCAAACTCAATTTGAGGGTTCCACAGAACCCCCTATGCTTTTGTAGCACTAACCACAATAACTTGGATAATTAACTAGGATAATAATCAGGATAATTATGGAACAAATTAATGAAAAAGGTAATTTATTTTATGATTAGCTGCCTACACTCTGATCCCTTTGCTAAAATGTAAGCTCTGTAAAGCCATGAATCATGTCTACTTGGTCAGCCCATATCCACGGGGGCTTGGCACATAATAATATTTAATATATATTTATTACATGGATGAATGAATGATTGAGTTAATTAATAAACACATAACCAGGTTTTCTGATACTAGGTGGGAACATATGTTGGTAATAATGCTTAAGAGTAGAGTCAGCCCTGAAAGAAAAAAAAAAAAAGAGTAGAGTCAGTCAGAGCTTGACCAGGCACATTGTTGTAGCCCATATACTGGTATAGAGAAATGGACTACCATTTTTTGCACACGTGCTATGTGATGGGCACTTTGTTATGATTATTTTATTTTTTCTTCACAATAACCCTGGGAAAGAGATATTTTTGCCTCATTGTACAGATGAGGCACTACCATACACTCTTGTTAGCTTTGATATCCATGTAGCTGGAGAGGATGCAAGAAATCCCCAGTGAGGTCACTATTCCAGAAATGGCAACTGGCCTCTATTTTGTACAACAAAATAATGGTGGTGCCTGGTCAGGGAAGAAAATATCCTCCTACTGAGATCTCTTCTCTAACTCTCAATGTGTTCCCATAGCACACTCTGCCTACTTTCTTCAAACAAAGTAATAAAAATAGATTATAAAATTGACTGCTATATGCCAGACACTGTACAAAGTGCTTTACTTGCACAATCCAAATTTATTCTTCCAAATATCTTAATGGTTGGCTATTATTACTGCTTCCACTTTACCCATAAGGAATCTGAGTCTCAGAAATGTTATGTAAATCATCACTACCTTAGGGGAGAGGTAGGTAGTGTATTTGACCTCAGGGACTCCAGACCCAGGGTTCTTAATCATTACACCATTGTATTTGCCTTTTATGGATCTATTTTTTTTTTTATTGGAGTTCAATTTGCCAACATATAGCATAACACCCAGTGCTCATCCCATCAAGTGTCTATCACCCAGTCACCCCCACTCCTCGCCCACCTCCCTTTCCACCACCCCTTGTTCGTTTCCCAGAGTTAGGAGTCTCTCATGTTCTGTCTATTTTTCCCACTGACTATAAACCCTGGTTATATACTAGAATCATTTGGACTGTTTTGTTTTGTTTTGTTTTGTTTGTTTTGTTTTGTTTTTAAATAACAACAAGAAGACTTCAATGTAGACCATTTACATCAGAATCCTTGTGCCTGAGGCCTGGACACCAGTGTTTTTTAAGAATCCAGGTGGATTTAGAGGGAAGATAGTCCTATAAACCAATGTAACAGTTCATCCTGGAGATTGGTTGTAGACATTTCTGTTTCCCAGCATCCAGCACTGTACCTGACACGTGGAGAAAAACCTCATAAAATTTATCTATAATTTATTGCACAGTAGAAACTAGTTAGACAGGAACCAATCATTTATAAATAAACATTAAGTGTCTAGTGCAAGCAAGCATTGTTCTGGGGAATGAGGATATAAATTAAGCATTTCCAGATACATGATTCTAATAAGATATTGCCATTGCCCTATCCTTCCACAATAGGGTGAGTAGCAGGGGAAGAGAGTCTATTTCCCTGTAAAAAGAAAAAGTATCTAAATTCTAAATAGTTACTGTTTAGACCATCATAGTCAGGATTCTAAACATCTGACAAAGTAAACATTAGAAGTTTAATATACTTACATTAATTTGTTTACTTTCCAATATATTTTTCTTTCTTTGCAATATCCAAATAGACATTGATGCAAAGTTAATAAATTGTGAATCAAGTCCATAGTCTTTTTTTTTTTTTTTAGATTTTATTTATTTATTCATGAAAGACACAGAGAGAGGCAGAGACATAGGCAGATGGAGAAGCAGGTTCCATGCAGGAAACCTGATGTGGGAC